TGTTCCAGAACTTCCTATTATTGGCGTATGACTCTGGCATATGACTTCTTTCACTAAGAATAATAGTTTTTATATTTACCCATGTTGTTACAAATATAATTAATTCCTTTTTATTCTATTCCTCTGAATGTATATACCAGTTTGACTACCAATTTATTGTTGCTGGACCTTGAAGTTTCATTTTTGGCCATTATGAATAACGCTATAAATATTGGAGTATGAATCTTTTGAGGTATAGTTCTTATTTTCTTGGGATTGCTAGGTCACATGGCAAGTACCTATTTAACTTTTTAAACAAACTGCCAGTCTGTTTCCAAAACAATGGCAATCATATCACTTTATATTCCCACCAACCACATGAGTTTCAGTAGCTACATCCTTGCCAACCTTGGGTACAGAGCTTTACTTTTCTTTAGCCATTCTAAAAAGTGGGCAAAGGTATCTCATTGTGATTTTAATTTGTAGGTCCCTAATTACTAATGATTCTGAGTATTTTTCAAGTGCTTATTTTACAGCCACAAATGCAGGCTTACCTCTATTTTTTCTCTTTTCCTAGATGTTAATTCTATTAGGTTGACCAAAAAGTCCATTTAGTTTTTTCCATAAAATGAAAGGCACATCAATTCATTTTTATCAACAACTTTATTGATCTGGATATTTTGAGTATGCCAGCTATCTCCCATGTGTTATAATGTTGACTGTCCTCAATTAATATCTCAATGTGATCACTATCAGCTTCAACTAGTCTACCCAAACGTGGAGCATCATCCAGCAAGAAATCTCCAGTACAAACTTCAAAACCCACTTTTGATATGTTTGATCAGTCACAGCACCTTCTCTGTACACTGCACAAATCCTTCTTTTTGCATTCAGTTGCATTTTTACCTTTCTTGAAAAAATAAAGCAGATGCTGAAAACCTGTATTTTCTTCCATCTTCAACATTAAAATGGCTACACAAAAACTCACCAATTTTGATTTTTTTAGTGCACACTGATATGACAGCTATCACAATACAATCTAACAAAATTGTTTTGAATGAAGGTAAAGACAACTAACCACTATTACAGCCATCTTATAGAAAAAAATAGATAAACTTTTTGGCCAACCCAATATATGGCCACAAATATGCCTGTGCCTCATAATTTTGATACTTTTCAATCAATTTTTTAAAAACCTTCTAGACAATTTTTCTAGTTTTTTTTCAGGGCTTCAGCGGTCTTAACAAAGCTCAGGGTATTATTCCTGAAAGTGTAATTTCTTCTTTCTAATTATGAATGGAGTGAATCTAACATGTTACTTTGAGAACAATGTTTTCTGATGCTTTCCATGAATTTCTCCTCCTAAAATTGATTTTCCTTCCTTTTTAATAATTTACATTGCTGTTCTCTGACTTCTTTTGATGCTTGTCCTGTTTCTCTTTAAAAACTTAAAGGCCATACATTTCCCCTAAAAACAACCCTCAAGAGGTACTCAGTGGACCCACATTTGAGCTGTACAGTATATTTGATACCATGTAATCAAAAAATTTTAAATTCCATGTTAACTTTTTGATATGTTATTTCAAAATTTATTACGTTATTTTCCTAGCTATCTTTTTGTTTTCTAGTTTCATTTGATTGTGGTCAGAGAAAATGATCTGATTTAGTTGTTTGTAATTTGCTGAGGTTTTTTTTTTTTAATGGCCTGGTATTTGGTCTGATTTTTGTCAATGTTTAGACTATGCCTACAAAGAAATGTTACTTTTCAGTTATTTAGTACAACACTCTCTGAAAGCAAACCAAGTGGATTTTTAATCATGCTGTTCCAATAGTCAAAAATTTTGTTTATCTACATGGTGGTTTGTACTGTGTAACTTGGTTAAGCTAGAATCGCATGACCAGTTGTCTTTTTCTCATAGGGTGTCAGGTTAGATTAGTAAGAGGAAGCCTGAGGCGAAGCTGCAGCTATTTCTCTGTGAAGGCCTTTGAGGCCAGACATGGTGAAGGACACACAGAAAGGGAACCATCCATCCAGTGGGCTCCGGCTTGCTGTCACTTTTTCCCACTCAAGGTCCAGGCTTTCCTGGCCAGCAGCGGCCCCAAGCCCGTGAGTGGAGTGTGGCGGCGGACTCACAGGAGCACTAGCCGCACAGAAGCCACAGCTCTCCGTAGACGTCAACAGCTTTCCTCCCCAGACTCACGCCCGTACTCGAATACCTGTGTCAGCTCCATCTGCCCACGTACGGCAGCGTTTCTCGAAAGTGGTGGGGTCTTTTCACTGACCCTTCAAGTCTTACTTCCGAGTTCCTGCCACAGCTTCAAAAGGCTTCCTTTCTATGCCAAATCCTTTATTCTACAATATTCATAGTAGCTTTGTTGCCCTGATTAAATCCTAAGAATCTATTTGTTCTTTTTATAAAAGATTTTATTTATTTATTTATTAGACAGGGGAAAGGAGGGAGAAAGAGAGAGGGAGAAACATCAATGTATGGCTGCCTCTCACATGCCCCCAACTGGGGGCCTGGCCCACAACCCAGGCATGTTGCCCTGACTGGGAATTGAACCAGCAGCCCTTCTTGGGCCTGTGCTCAATCTACTGAACTACACCAGCCAGGGCTATTTGTTCTTTTAAATACTTAGATTGTGATGTATTCACCTTAATTTCTGGCCTGTACGCACTTCTCTTTTTGGAACACATTTTACCTTATCCTCTTTCTCTTTAACGAAGTAGAAAGTACAGGTCTAGGGTCCTTGGAGTGTAAAATTTCTATTACTTCTGCACACTGCAGGACCGGCGGGCTTCTACAGATTTGGAAGTCCTGAGTCTACATGAGTTGGCAGACTAATGGGTTGGAATGGCAAATGAATATTTGATTTTATCACAGAAAATGATTGAGGCTAGGGAATTTGGCATTTTTATGAAATTCTTGTCAGTCTCAAACCCCCCAAAAGGTAATCCTGAAGGTTTTTTAAGACTCCTCTCCCAGAATTTCATTCTGTCCCTAGAGATCTTGGATAGGACCCGGGGACACTTGCTTCTCACAAGCAGCCCAGACAAGTCCAGTGAAGGCAGCTGTGTATTTCTTATTGGGCAAGACCAGACCAGAAAAAATTCAGAAAATATCTCAACATATTATTTATGTCCTTGGGCCTTTCTATTCACCTCTATTGCCTCAAAAAATAGAAAAAGAGGCAAAAGAAAACTACCATCTTCAGTTTTTCTGGGCCATCCAACCTCTATTTCAAAGAATTTGCATCTTTAAGTATAACAAACATGTAATTTTGTGAATTAAATGTATTACATAGAATGCATTTTAATATCCCTAATAAAAAAATGATGTAAAAACTCTTAGAACACTGAAATTCAGAAAAGATTATATCAACATCTTACTATAAGAACAAACTGAGCTCATGTCAAGATGCAGTGAATGTGAATCTCCTAAGATTTATTACTTTGGAGCAACTTTCCCTGTATACTGACCTCCTCGCACTCACGTGCACACACGCACACACACACACACACACACACACACACTGGAAGAAACAAAAAGCAAAACTTACTTTCTTGGTTAACAGCATGGTATATAATCATTTACAGGAAAGACACACCTAGTCAAATATTTTGCGAGGATGAAAGCAGGTATCTCACACACATTAAATCATGTTACTTTTAATATATTATCATAAATTTTTACATAATAGTAGAATAACTGATACACTTAACTGATATTACACATAAAGGAGAAGAGTAATAATTGTCTAGAAAAAGTAATAAAAACATATAGTAATAAAACATATAGTAAACCATGGTAGCAGAATTGTAAGCCTGGTCAATGGTACTTCTTTCAATGCTATTTTCCTTAATAACTTTATTTGATGAGATAACAACTATTGCTAATTAAAAACAACTAGTGGAGAGGTTCTTTCAAGAACAGCTGATTCCCCTTCTGCATGAGCAGTACAAACTCCTTTCCCTCAACTGGAGTCAATCAATAGAGACCCAGGGCTACATGTCACATCTGATACTATAAAAATCGCTTGGAATCAGTTTTTCCTTTGACACATAATAGTTTCCAACTTGAACTTTGTTGGCCTTTCTTTCACCCTCAGTACACAGCTCAGGAAAGAGACCTTCTTCTTCCCCTACAACAGCTGCACCGCGACAACCCCTGTCTCCCCACGGAAACGTGAACAAGTTCATAAGAACTGTCTGATCTCCTTCTTCCTTTTCTTTATCATCTTCTTTCCTTCTTCACCTTGATAACTGCTTAATGGTTTAGATAAAAGGAGAAAGTTAAATCCAGTAGTTACGAGATGCAGCAAAACGAAACAGCATTCAATTTAATTAAAATATTCCCTTTTGATGGATTACTCTAAAACAAATGTTTTGAAGTGGATTCTGCTTCTTGTATTCAAAGAAAAACTGATGAAGACAAGGCAAAAGATGACATTTGAAAAGAGTTATGTATTTTTCAGCTTTTTCCATAAAATTTCAAATAAAATCTCAAATGTTTCCTGGAACATTTCTGACAAAGTAACTATGGGTTTGACTGGATGATAAAAACATCTGCCATGCAGATAAATATCAACTTGCACTTGATAGATGCTCTTAATTCAGTCCTCCCATAATAACAAATGGGTTTTTAATCAGGTAGGACAAATCATCTGAATCAATTTGGCTTTGGACTTGGGCTAGTGAACTTTTAGATTAGTGAAGGATACTTGTAGTTCATTTTAAAATCTGTAAAACTAGGAGAAACCTCTTGGTAGAAAAAACATGAATACAAATATTTATCAGTAATATTTTAAAAGAAAAATACCTACCAGTCATAAGTACTATTAATTTATTTTAAAACTGCTACTTCCTTTTGTCTTCCATACATCCTAAAAACCCAACACTTGTGTTGGTTTAAGATTGCAATGAACAGACAACTTTGTGAGATAAATGTCTTCACTTTCTTATAATTAAACTCTATAAATACAGACAGGCCATAACAATTAAAAGCTATAGAAAGCCAATGTCCACATTCTTATTTTTATTAGCACCCAAGAAGGAAGCAGTATGAGCTGTGCACAATGTACAACATGGTGGCAATGCAGAGGTTCATTGAAAACATACTACATATCTACAGCTTCTTCGACAGTTAACACTGACTGGTTTTCTCAAGCAAGAAAATTACCTTCTCCACAAGTGAAACCATGCTCCAAGAATGAGATCATGTCAAATTACACAAAAATGTTCACAAGATGTATGAAAATGATGGACACCAAATCATTACTGCTAATACTGGGATCGCTGTCTCATAGTCTTATAAAATTCCTAATCCTCAGATCTAAACACTTAATATTGATTACTAGGTAAGACTGCCTGCCTTACACTTAATAATGACAATTCCATAAAAATGTATTAGCATCAAATAATGAAACACTACTTTAAAAAAACCACAGTGAAGTTTCTTCTTTCATATACAATTAAAAACACTATTTTTTGGAACCAAAATGTAATTTAAAACTAGAGATTCAAATAACATATAATTGAAATGTATCTCTCACTCTATAATGTTAAAATATATATAACATATAAAAAGAATTTTTTACAAGAAAGAAGAATAAGAACTAGCATATATGTGCTATTGGTCTGAGAGAAATAATTCAACAATTTTTTTAAACTTAGCTATCAAATCTATCACCTCATTCTTAGTTCATCCATTTTGGGTGTTAAACTCTGTAATTGATGTTAAACTGACAATTTCTCTAAAGCAGGCTCACATTTGAGACATTACATCCCAACAAATCATCAGCTGCTTGCATGTCAAAAGCACAGGGACAAGGCATGGAGCATTGCATAAAGGGGCGAATCAATACAAAAGACTGTAAATGCATTAAGAGATTTGAGATTGCTTTAAACAAAAAAATAACATTTCATGAACAACTTGCACCTAACTTATACAAATAGCTGATGCTCACACAAGCTTCATGATGCAAAAAGTCATTGTAGAAGACAAATATTTTTTTAAATAATTCAACAAGTTTTTACATTAAGGTCGATAAATGATCAGTGTGCCTTGTCTTACATTCCTTAACTATTAAGAAGAGACATTTACTGCTATATAATAGCTTTCATATACTTGAAGACCTGAAGCAATGTAATAACTTCTTAATGTGTTTTTTCCAGATAAGACAATGCGGTCTTGAAATTATTTTTTTCCCAAAATGTTATCTTTAAAGAACTGAGTTGTTAGTCTTTTGTTGAAACCCAATGTTCAGCCTCTTGAAAAATCAATTTTGCATTTACCTGGAAGGGCTATCTGGGATCCTGATGGAAACTTAACTTATCCAGGACAATTGCAGAAACAAACCCTCACCATGATATTTACCCAGTATATTTAATATGTGAGTTTTCTTATGTCATCTGACTTTGGTTTTTCATTTGCATAGTCTAACATTGCAGGATAAATACGGCTCATTGGGCCCCTTCTCTTCTTTTCTTTTTGTCCCAACATTTTTCTTGATGGGAAAGAGATATAAAACCACCCAAGAGAAGATCATAAAAATGTGCAGATTCTCTGGAAAGTGACGGGACAGCCCAAATCCAGTGTTTAATACAAACTGCAACATTCCATGATTTCCCATATTCTGATTCCACATGCACTTTTAATAATCATTTATGGAATCCCAGAAAACACCACCTAGGAAGGGCCCAGCCAATGGAGCAGACAAGTGGGACTCTTCTGACCTCCCAGAGTTAGCCTCTATAAAAATATATAAAAACAGAGTTAAAAAAAAGAACAAGGAAAAGGGGTAGAGTCGACACATGGCTTCGGGCCTCTGGCCCTAACCCAGGGAAAATGTGACGCTAGACAGGCAACCAGCTGCTTACTCATTTTGTTGACTAGATTGTTGATTTAGCTAGCTGTACTTTGTTTTCCTGAATCATGACTTCCTTGGCAAATTCATTAGAACCATCTCTCAAGTTCTCTTTTAATTTCTTAAGCTCAAAGTCATGGAGGATCTTGATAGTCATTAGCTTTTCTCGTTTGATTCTCTCCAGAACATCTTTTGGAACATCGGGGATCATCCAGGCCAACAAAAATTTAACTAAAAACACAACATGCTAGAGAAAACATAAAAAAATAAAAAACACTGTTAGAATTGTCAAGTGTTCAGCAGGAAGTTCCTACAAATCATTTCATTCATTCAAAAAACTGTGCTTGACACATGTGGTACAAAGAAAATAAAAAAGATACCCCTGTCCTGGCACTTTCCTCTAAAGACCAATAATAAACAGATAAATATATTCTAAAATATGTAACACAGAAACTGAAGTTCAACATGGTTATTGAATATACTCCTTATCTATGCTCCCTTCTGAAAACCAATAAAATATCTGAAAATGAATTTTTTAAAATGACATAACTCACAAAGACATAAAGAAAAAAGAGGGGACGGTGATAACAGACTCCAGAGCAAAGAAAGCTGGCACTTCTTAAACTTGCAATTGGTGACATGGTGATGTCAGAAACCAAAAAGACAAACACCAATTTTGTTTTAGATCATTAGAAAAGCTTAGGAAAGAAAGTACTAAGGACTTTGAAGGTGTATTTGTGGATGGAACTGAAACCAAGAGGATTTGTTAAAAATTTGCATATGGATGGCCCTTGTTGGAGTGGCTCAGTGGATTGAGCGCAGATGGGTCCTGGGATCAATTCCCAGTCGGGGCACTTGCCTGGGTTGTGGGCCAGGTCCCAGTAGAGGGCACAGGGGAGGCAACCACACATTGATATTTCTCCCTCCCCTCCCCTCTCTCTAAAAATAATAAATAAAATCTTTTTTAAAAATTTGTGTAAGGAGCAGTTGAATTTCCAGAACCTCTCTACCATCTGTAGATGTAGCAGCATTCCTTGGGTATGAATATAAAGCTTATAACTGTCTCTCACTGATCAGTCTTTTTTTAAATATATTTTATTGATTATGCCATTACAGTTCTATTTCCCCCCTTCATTCCCCTCCACCCTGCACACCCCTCCCCCACCATCCCCCTTTAGTTTATGACCATGTGTCTCAAGTTCTTTAGATTCTATATTTCCCATACTATTCTTGCCCTCCCCTCTATCTATTTTCTACTTACCGTCTGTGCTACTTATTTTCTGTACCTTCTCCCCCCTTCTCCTTCTCCCACTCCCCTGTTGCTAACCCTCCATGTGATCTTCACTTCTATGGTTTTGCTCCTGATCTAGCTGTCCTCTTAGTTTGTTTTTGTTTTAGGTGTGTGAATATGAACAGATTGCCAAGAACCACCAAATAAAATGTAAGCAGATATCTCACATGGAAGAAAAAGACTGAAACACAAAAATAAGAACTAAGAGGAATGACAGTAATGAACAGAGCAAAAGAATAGTAGAATAAAAAGACAAAGATATGAATCCATCTACTTATAGGAAAGAAAAAATGATAATTAATTTCAAAATAGGATGTATACTATCTGAATAACAGAAATCCCCCAAAAATAGAGTAGAGAAAAAGAGAAAATTGGCAAAGAAATAAGCCAAGAAAATTTTCTTAACTTGAAGGGTAAGTATGTTTTCAGACCTACAGGGTTTAGTGAATAGTCACAATGATGAGTATGGTCCAATGTAAAGAAACTGTCTTGTGAAATGTCATAAGACAAGGACTACTGAGAGAATTCTTAAAGATTACTGACATATAAAAACATCACAGAAAGGCTTTGCATTTTACAATACTGGAAGCTGACAGAAAATAGAGCAATGTCTTAAGACATTTCAGGAATACCTAAATAAAGCTGGCTGAAAAATTTTCAGGAAAAATGACTTTTAATCCTGAACTGTATGCCAATTAATCATCTATAAGGAAAGAAGTTTTTAATATATAAGTTTTCAAAAATTGATGGCCCAAAATTTTCCTCAACAGATTACAGGATGATGTGCTTCATTAAAATAAGCTAGCAATCCAAAAATGGGAGAAACATAGATTGCAGAAAATGTAGTGTTTAATACAACAGAAGGTGCAGAGAAGTCCAAGAAAGATGATCAGTCAGAGCCTGGGATGGTTAAAAAGTTAGTGAGAATAAGAAATAAACAAAACACACAAACAAAAAGATTCCTAGTGCAATTTACCAGACTGAAAGGTAATGAAAAATGTGGGAGTGGAAGAGTGATATACGAAGAACTGAGAGAGAGAGAGAGAGAGAGGGAGAAAGAGAGGAAGAGGGGGGAGAGGAAGGAAGGAAGGAAGAGAAAAACATGCAGATGAATATTACAGAAGACTGATGCCTTTTTTATCATGTAAAAGTATATGAATTTAAAAATTATTTTTATGGATAAAGATAAAGAAAAACTGATTAGACTTTGTGTGTGCTTGCATTAGACTTTTCCATTGTTGGGATTTACTGTAGAGTGCAAAAGTGCCACCTACTGAGTTAGCTCTCCCTTACTGGCTTTCACGGTTTATGACGTGTAACACTTAATTTGTATCTTAGTCAAATATCCCCTCTGTATTTGTTCATTTTTATTGCATGTCTTCTATCTATCATTATACTAGAAATCCCATGAGGCAGAAACATAATATATAGTGGACAGAGCAGTCACTTGGGAGAGGGATATCTGTCATTAAAACCCAGGTTTAGTATTAGCTCATTATCTCTAAAGCAAATACCTAATTTTACTAAGTCTGAGATTTATTTGTCAAGGACTAATAATAAAGTCTACATCATAAGGTTATTATCATAGCCTCTGGAACCATTATATAATAGGTATTCAGAAAGATCAGTGGGTTCTCTGCCCATTTTCTGACCCTCAAGGGGTGTGGCCATATTTCTTTTTTCCTGTCACTTTGATATCTTAACAATAGTAAATGAATAGTAGGCAATCATTATACTGAAAACATCCCTATGCTGCTTTTTATGACAACAAATATGTCAAAACAATTGATTGAGATAATGCCATTTTCCGCTGAGCAGATACCTTTAGAAACATATGACCAAAGGGAGCAAAGAGACTAAGGGGAATGAACGGTAAGAAGGGCTACAGGAACCTAAACAGCAAAGCAAACAAGCAAGCAAAATATAACCAAAGGCACTGAAATAGAGAAAAGGCTGACAGTGACCAGAGGGGAGAGGGGAGAATTTCAGGGGAAAAGGGGTTTACAGGAACAAGTATAAAGGGCACATGGACAAAAACTAGGGGGGATAGAAATGGGAGGGAGGTGGGGAGGCCCAGGGGGGTTGGCTGGGATGGGAGTAAAAGACAGAAAATTGTACTTGAACAACAATTAAGTTTTTTTAAAAAGACAAAATAGTAAAAAAAAAAAAAGGGGGAGGTACTTACCTCCATAACTATGATGAAGGTCATCTTGGCAGCAAGGACGTGCCAGAATTGCATATTATGAAAGTACTTCAGATCATGATCGGGAGGATATCTGTAATCTTTATACCTGAAAAATAGAAATACAAAAATTAGCTGGAGCTTCAGAGAGTCCTAGCATAAATTCCTATTCCTTTTATTTAACCTCCAAAGTCAAATCACAGTAAGATAATTGCTACCTTAAAACATTTCTGTGCTATAATACAAGTAGAAATGATGGCTGATGTACAGTATAGAGGTAGCAGGAAACACAAGTGCAACTTCTCTCTTGCCCTTCAAAGACAAATTTTGCTATCTCCATTTCCTCTCTTCCCACCCGCCTTAACACAGTTAGTTGTATCCATCACCACAGTGAAACCAACTGTCTCCTCTATTTAAATGGAAGGGACATTTTAATCCTCATCTTATTTGATCTTTTGAGAATAAAACTTGACATTCTATTTCCTTGAAATTCTATTTTTTCTTGGCTTATCTGACACTGCATTTTTTTCCTTACTATCCTTCTGCTGATATCCTTACTATCCTAAGTGTTCTTAGCACTCAACTTTGTGAGCTTATTGTTTTCTCCAAAGCTGCTAGAGACTGATATTCTTCAAAGTTTTAGCCTGGACATGACATCAAGAACTATGATATAAGTGACCATACTCTTAAAGACTACACTATGATTATTCCAGATGCAAATATGAACTGTGGCAATGCTTCTGTCTGCCTGCATTGCAACACTCTGCAGTTTCCTTTTTGGCATCCAAGATGAGACCACTGGTTCAAGGTTTAAGTTAAGGGGCCTTGATGTTCTTTCTTTCTTCATATCTATCTATCTGTCTAATAAAATATAACTACATACATATGATATACAAATTTTACATGAATATAAAATCTTTAAATCCTAGAGTAAAACGATCCTCACAGACATGAGACACTAAGTGGGGAAAGAGTACATTTACAAATTCAATTTCACACTCACTGCATGAAACCCTTTAAGTGGGATATTTTTATTTTTCATTCTTTTTTTCAGGATATATAATTAAGTTCAATTAGATTAAATGTATGTATAATACAATTATGCTGTATGATATATAGATATCACAATTTGGGGGCATTTGTTGCTGAGAAATATTTCCAATAAATAGAAAAGAAGAGACAACTCAAAATTGATGTTATTTTACTCATAATATTCTCTTACTTTGGGACATGCTGTGTTTCCAGATCAGAACCTTACAATGTGTGAATTCCAGAATCGATGCACTTTACTATCCAGCATTTGTACTGCCCATAGTAAAGCCTTTATATTGTAAGGCATGAAGGAAATAAAGAACAAAAGAAATATATCCAAAGGGCAAAATTAAAGAAAACAAGAAGAAACCTGCAAGTGGTGAAGTCTCTTCTTTCCGAAGGCGCAGTGTGGTTTGGTAAGTCATCTATCAGGAATATCGACAGGCTGTTATTGATATAGCCTTTCAAAGGGTCAGTGGAATTTTTTGAATAGGCGTAGTAATAAACTAGACGAGGAACGATGTCCGATGTAAATGCCACAATAAAAGCCTAAAAAGGATAAAACAAGAGGGAGATCATGAGCTAATAATCTAGTGTGAAAAATGCCTGATTTCTATTGCTCAGTTCCTTGTGCTACAAGGATGCAAAATGATTAAAATGCTATTATTAATCATGTTAATATGAGTCTTTGCCCAAAACATGAAATACCTCATTTATAGTATATGACTAGTAGTCCAAGATTTCACAGCTAGAAAGTGACTAAGTTGAAATTGGAACCTGAGTGTATCTGCTGCCAAAAACCAAGATCGTCCTACCACACCTCTCTATTTCCACCCTTCTCATTGTTTCATTCACAGTTTCCACTGTCCTGAACCAGGTTCGTTTGCCTGGACCAACTCCATATGCTAGAATCAAGGGCGTGGGCATCATTTCCAAAGATCCAAATAGTATGAACAATGTGTTTCCTTTAGGTTATTAGGGAAGTCAATTTAAAACCACCTGGCTCTGATACCTATAGGTTAGTGGTACATTTAAAAAAAACCTTATAATATTATTTCTATAGCTACTGGTCTATTCAGTTTTTCTATCACTGAATAAATTTTGGCAGTTCTTATTTTTTAAAAAAGGAGTCATTTCAAATAGATTTTAAAACTTATTGACCTATATACCAGTCTCTTGATTTTCTCACCTGTACCTTGTCACTTTTTCTTGTTTGAGGCTTTTGGAGTTTTGGTTATTTTATTTCTTTTCAATGAGCCAATCCTTGATTTACTTAGCAATTACATTGTTTTTTGTTTGTTTTCTAATTTGACTATTCCTGTTTGTATCTTTATTAATTGTTACTACTTTCTATTGATTAGCTTACATTTTTCCTTAGTTTCTTAAGTTAGTTTCTTCTTTTTTAAATAATAAAAGCATTTATTGTTATAACTTTTCTGTACCAGTGATTTTAGCTGACCTACAGGTTTTCCTTTTAATAATTTCCTCTTTATATAATGAAGTTGACTTAGAAGTGTGAATGTTAAATGTTTATTTACTCTTTTTTGGGTACTTTATTATCAATTTTAATTTTCATAATATTATTTTAGGTGAATATGCATTATAAAACTTATGCTTTGAGGAATCTATTTTTATTTCTATTTTTAGTGGTCCATAGACATAACAGGCAAATGCTGTGTATTGCTGTATATTATGTATACAACTCTACGTATAATCAAGATTTAATGGTACTATTCAAATCTTTACACCATTACTTGTTTCCTGTCTACTTTGTCATATGCTATGAAACTGTACTGTGCTATTTTAATGAGAGTGATCCTACAGTTTTCCTTGTGGATGATCTTAAAATTTTCCGAGTTTCCGTGTCAGAAAGTTCTCTATGTTGTTTAGTGCATCAAAGTTTAGGAATGTTTTATCTTTCTAGACTGTCCGCATGATGAAGTCAAAATAAATAGAGATTGAGTTAAGCATCATTCACATCTCCCGATCCCCAAGAAAACAAAATACAGTCACCCACCAAAACAGGTCCACTTACGTTACTTGCAACAGAAATAACAGTCATTCCATAAAGAATGTCTTGCCAAACACCTATGCTATGAGCTTTAGCAGCCACAGGTCTCCTGTACTGAGTAGTGAGTTTCCAGGCATCCACTCGGATCTCTATAACATTATTCAAGAGAGCAAGAAGAGGAGCCAAAGGAAAAGAGGCCACAAATAATGTAACAAATCCGAATTGGATTACTGCAGGGAGAAAAGAAAAATGTGCAACTCATTATCATGGAGGGGAAAAGAGGGAACACTCTGCCCAACTCCCACCACCTCCTGCATTTTGGGAGGATCTATACCAGCAAAACACTCCAGGTCTCTTTCCAACTGCCCACTTCTCCTCCCCATAAGAAGCAGTGACTAAAACCTGTTTGCTCAAACAGGAACGAGAGACAGGCCATGCATGGCTCAGTTTCAAACTTGCTGCTTCTTTTGAGATCTGCTTATCTAAAGAAGCATCTACTCTTGTTAGATAAGATATTCTTCTTAAAAGATAGTCTTTTATTTTTTAAATATATTTTATTGATTATGTTATGACAGTTGTCCCATTTTTCCTCCCCTTTATCCCCCTCCAACCTGTATCCCCCCTCCCACCATCATTTCCCCAGCTTAGTTCAAGTCCACGGGTCATACATATGGCTTCTTTGGCTTCTCGATTTCAGAGATAACATGCAGAGTCATCAGCAGGGAGGGGGAAGGAAGAGAATGGGGGAAATGGTACAGGGAATAAAAAGCATTAACCGTAGGTATAAAATAGACAGGGGGGGAGGTTAAGCATAGTCTTTTATTATAGTGTATGTTTAGGTCTATGATGGTCTAGCCTTGACACTGGCCCTGCCACAGCAGTGGGGTAATCAAGTTTCTCTGTCTTGCTAATCTGTGTACTTCCTGAGATCACACATAATGACTGATTCATTTGTATGCTTCCAACAGCCAGTACGTGCTGGGTATATAAACATATTCAACTATAAGCCTTATGAATGAATGCATTATTAAAGATTTGAAGAAGCTAATAGATAAAAAGGCAGTAAAAAACAACATATAGCTGAGAATAAACCAGAAAGTGAATTACTAAAACATCAGAAATATATGTAAATTATATGTGGAGAGGAAATATACATTTCCTGGAATAAAGTATTTGTTAAGGTCCCAATCCTTTGGGATACCTTGACATCTTTCTAAATTAGTTTTACTCTCCCCATTAAGACTTAACACCTGTGTCAGCTGTATTCTGTCACTTTTGGTTTTTTGTCTCCAACAATGTTTGGAATAAAAAAATCCACACACCTGGCAGTCTGGGCTTCCCACATGAGTCAAAAATAATCATGAGAATTACAGAAAGAAATTTCCACTGGAGGAAGGGAGGATCTTCCACTTGTCCTCTATTTTTAGGTGGATCATGAGTATTTCTGGATTTCAGCTTTTTTTTTTAATTTTCTTATTAAAAAATCAGCCTTGTCATCTACTAAACCAAGTGAACAAATAGCCTCATTTCCTGTCTTCTCTACTGACTCAAGAAATAAGAAATTAAGAGGAAGTAGTATACATAAACAGTTTAAATTTTCTATGTACGAATTCTAGATCTTTACCTAAAATCTTTGTGACCATGGGAAATAAATTAACTCATCCACATTTCAGCATCCTCTAAAATAAAATGCAGTGAATAATGACTACTCTGTAGAATGTTTCAAGATTAGAGATGATGTATGTGAAACATCCAGAATAAATTAATTTAGTTGTGTCTCAATAAATGGTAGTCAATCTTATGAAGCCTTGTATTTCAACTTTTTCATTTCAGCGATCATTTCTCTGATGCATTTATATACAAATCCATTTAAAACTTATATAATTAAAAATTAGCCTTAACACCCCATAGAGTAAGGACTAGCTAATTTCACTGCCAGCTGTATATCAATAAAACAGATTTCTTACTGTGTGTCCTAAATTTACCTATTTCAACCCCGGCATCACATGTCTGTACTACAGTGGAGAATCAGTAGCAATTTCAGGCCAGCTGGTTCATTCCACCATAATTTTATGGGCCTTAAGAAAAAGTTTTTAAAAAGCGTCTTTAAGTTCACCAGAGAAGCAGAGAAGCACCACTCAAAGAAGACACTCTGAGGAGACTACACAGGCAGGCTCCGTCATTCTCTCTCCTAAAATTTCACCTCAAGGTCTCTTCTCTGTTGAACCCTTGGAATATTTTGTGGATTTACTGTGTTCAATCTGGGTTTCCCTGGAATAACTGCTGTTAGTCTTCTTCCTTTTAGCATTAACTAAAGGAAACACCAAAATGTTTTGTGCTGAAAATGTTTTTCAACTTGTTCTCTCTCTGAGCAATCACTGAGGCAAACAAAAGGAGAAAGAACTATTTAAGCTAATTTGAGTCAGTTATTAAAAAGTGGTCCTTATTTTGTTTTGTTCAATATTAACACTCGATAGGAAAAAATTTTGTGAGCTTAGTGTTTTGAAACTAAACTTCATTCTACATTCTGTTTGGTAAGTAAAGTCAACATTGAACCAATCTTTTATATATTAATCCATTTATCTTCTCATCTACTGTCCAGTGATTTACTGAACACCTGCTATGTTGAAGGCAGAAAGAAATATTAAGAGCTGAAAAAACACTTATTTTAGTCAGCCTCACTCTATGTTTCAAGACAAGTGGTTAAAAATGACCTGTTTCTAGGTATTCATAGAACAGCCCAAGAGATCCAAAAGTTTCAAGGTCATGGTCCTGCTCCCATCGACTGTACAGCTTCTCAGAGTTGGTCCGAGCTTTTCGGCGTCTCCACCAATTTAGAACCAACCTGTTGGAAGTCATCAAAGTAAACACATAAGATAGTTTTTAAAAAGGGTTACAGAATCAGAGTGATAAATCTAGAAATTGACAGTAAGAGAGGTAAAGAAACAAGATCACAGAGCAAGCAGAGCTAAAGTCCACATCAAAACATAGTGTTCTTTTCATAGTACAAGACAAGGTCAAAGTTCTTTATTGGACTGAGTAAGAAAATATAACAACACTGACTCTCTTGATGGAAATATATTTACTCAGAGATGGTTCTGTTAAAGAACAAGTGGAGGCAAGCTTCTATAGAGGATGTTTTTTTTCCTATTTAATTCACTAACCTTTCAGTTGTTAAGATACTAAGGACACTCAAGGAAGTGAAAAATTGGTTACAACAGAAAATGCATGACAATGGAAGTGCAGAGGCTTATCTAACATGAAAATAAATGAAATAATCATAAACATAATATTACCTAATTCCATATTATATAAAAAATAAAACATTATGATAATGTTGGATTACTTTAAGGACCAAAGGTTTTTTTTTCATTTTATTAGAAAACCAAACAATGTGATAGACCATATGAACAGATTTAAGTAGAAAATATGAAATCATGTCAATTACTACAGAAAAACATACTTATTCAAGTATTTTAAGTACTTATTTATGATAGAAAAGTAGAGGAAAAAGAAAATTACCTAAATCTAATCAAAGGCATCTAGCATAATTTGGAGGAAAACATCATTCTTAATGGGGGGAAAGTTAGAAGCATTCCCTTTAGAACCAAGAACAAAGAAAGGGGGTATATTATGATCATATTCAAGACTCTACTAGAGATCTTAACCAGTAGAATAAGATAAACAATGGAAGTGAAGGTGTAATCTATAATTATTAACAATAATAATCAATATTAACAATGTGATTCAACTGTCTGCACAGAAAATCTAGATGGAGTTAAACAAAAATATTAGAATTAACTAGTAGAGTACATCAATACATTTTATTCCTTTATACTCATAGAACACAGGTATAGAAACATAATATTTATTCATTTTAAGGATTTATTTATTTGTTTTTAGAGAGAGGGGAGGAAAGGAGAGAGGGAGGGAAACATCAGTGTGAAAAAACACTGCCCCCAGCGCGCCCCCAACTGGGGGCCTGGCCAGGAGGCCAGGCAGGTATCCTGACCAGGAGCTGAAGCAGAGACCTCTTGCTTTGCAGGTCAGCTCTCAATCCATTAACCCAACCAGCCAGGGTAAAAACCTAATTTTTTAAAAAGATAACATTTATAACAGCAACTAAAATGAAAAGTACTTAGAATTGGATTTGACAGAGGACTGATATGACCCATATGTAGAAACTTAAATCTCAAAGTCATTAAAGTCCAAAATAAATGTTCATGAATTAAAAGACTTGGCATTATAAAAATGGTAGCTATTTTTATTAAAACTATTGTAAATCAATATTTTTGAAACAAATGTAATTTTATTCAAAAAACAAACTATTTTCATGCCAAGTTTGACAAGATGTTTCTAAAGTTTACACAGAAAGACAAGAAACATGGATCACCCAAGATATTTCTATAGATAACAGAATAAATCTTACCCCACCAGATACCAAGACTTACTACAACGCTGTACTAAGAGAGAGCAGTACTGGGGCAGGGCCTGCCCAGTCATGGGCCAGAGTGAAGACCGAGTAATAGTGCTTGCTGTCCTTGTTATATATGGCACAACTGGTGTATAGGTACCAGAAAAGTGGGGAAGAGGAACTTTTCAATAAATGCTAACAATGTTTTTCATTTTTAAATATCAGTTTTATTTTTTCCTCAGTGATGCGGGAAAAAGCTCACTATAATATTAAGTCTTGAAAACAAACAAAGTAAAGTCAGAGAGTAAAATGAGAATCCCCCCCAAATAAAACATGCAAGCACGTCAAAATTTTGTCAACAATCTAGGTTTAGAAATGTAAGAAGCTTGCAAGAGGAATAAAAGATTCCACTTTTGTTAGTCAATACTTGAACTTCAATCTGCTGGAAAAACTGTTCTTGTAAGTTGGTGGTAGCATCATTTGAAGGTACAGGGAGATGCAGAGAGGAGCCTGGCTCATTAGAGAGGGCGTGTTACTAAAAAAGCGGGGAGATGTGTGTGTGTGTGTGTGTGTGTGTGTGTGTGTGTGTGTGTGAGAAATTAAATTTGAACTTCACAGCGATCACAGAATCTTTTTCATATGCATTAAGAATTTAAAAGAAAAAGATAATGATGCTAAAAATTAAGAAATAAGTATATTAGAATATCTATTTGACCTTGGGGTAGGGAAGGACTTATTAAATAAGACAAGAATATGCTAACCCATATGAGAAAAGGTTAATACACTTTATTATATTAAAAATATGTATTTTTGTCTTCCTATAGTGGTGGTTCCTAACTGGGAGTGACTTAGCCACAAGAGTGCACTGGCAATATCTGGAAAACTTTTTGATTGTCACAACTGGGAAGAAGGTAATCTATGGGCATCTAAGGGGTAAAGACTGAGCATTTTGCTAAATATCTTACAATGCAAAGGGTAGCCCCCCACAACAAAAAGTTATCTGGCCCAAAGTGAGTGCCGAGGTTGAGGAACTGTGATCTAATGATGCTATTAAAACAATAAAAAGACAAAACTTCTGATGGTATAAAATACTTGCAACACATATAACCAACAAGACAAAAATATAGTAACCACAAGTTATAAAGCATTCCTACAAATGAGTTAGAAAGATAAACAAGTAAAAATGGTTAAATACCAACAGGCATTTCACTGAAGAGAAAATACACATGGCCATAAAATGTCCATTCATGTTCTTAATCAGGGAAATGCAAAATAAGACTAAAATGAAATACCACTTATACCCTCCAAATTGGTAAAAATGAGCAAATAAGACAATAAAGTACTATAGTGAATGTTTAAAAGGGACACTTGTGTACTGCTTATATTGAAACTAAAACACAAAGAGCTGAGACTGTTGAAAAGGTCACAGAACACTGGAGAATTCTGATGCGCTGACAAACAGATGGACATGTGCAGAACGAGAGTCAGTGGAAAAGGAGACTGCCCAGTTCAGGGCAGAGAGCTTGGCCGGGACCCCGGAAGGGCTTCTCTGTGCTTCTTTCCAACTACAAACTCTTAAGTCCCCACACACGGACCGTTATCTTCAATTTTATAATAATCTCTTGGTTGCTTTCTTAAAAAAAGGTTTATCATCATGATTTATTTTGAGTTAACTTTTGAATGAAGTATAGATTTACTTCAAATTTCATTATTTTGCACATGGACATCCAGTTGTTCCAGCCCAGTTAAAAACTGTTCTTTGTTCAATGAGTTATTTTTGCAACTCTATCCAAATAAAATGGCCCTATTTGTGTAGATTTATGCCTGCAGTCTCTACCATGTTCCATTGATCTATATATCTATCCCTTCACCAATCCCACTGTCTTGATTAATATGGTTTCATATGAAGTTTTAAAATTGAGTGGTGTCATTTCTCCAATTTTATTCTTCTTTATGTTTTGGCTATTTAGTTCCTTTGATTTCTACATGCATTTCAGAATCTGCTTATCTATATCTACAAAATCTTGCTACTTTGATTAGAATAACAAATCTATATATCAATTTGGGAGATAACTGGCATCTTTACTATGCTGAGTCTTCCAATCTAACTCTTTTCATTAAGCTTTGTAGTTTTCAGCACATGAGTCCTACGTATTTTTTAGATTTATACCAAAGTACTTCATCTTTCTGGAACTAGCGACTCTACCACTGATCAGTGTTTCTCACATCCCACACTCTTATTCTGTATTCTCTTCTTGCTCAGGTACATCTTTCAGTATTGTCCCAGTGAAGTTCAGGACTAGGAACTTTGTAAACTCTTAGTTCTTTCATCTTTGAAAAATGCCATACTTCCACTTGTACTTTTTATCATAGTAAACTGGTTCTAGAAATTTAAGGTGAATGTTCTTTTCATTAAGAATCTTCAAAATGCTCCTCTGTCATTTGTATCTAATACTACTTAGTGAGAAATCTGTCCACAGTAGATATTTCTTCCTCTTCAGAAAGATGCTCACGTAGCCTCCTCTCACTCTGTCTAGTCCTGCTGTCTCTCTGCCACACTGCACAACGTGCAGATTTCTCAGTGCTATTTCCCAGTTCACTCTTCAGAGAATTCTGTTCAGTCTGTAACTAATCCCATCTATTATACTCTTTATTGGAAGTACCCTTTTTCATTTATATATAATTGATTATTCTTTATATTCATTGTTCTTATGTCATTTACATCTGTATTCAAATTATTTCCTGATCCTTTTTAATGACAGTATCCCCTCCTTCTATGTTTTCAGGCTTTGCCAGAATCTTCTAGCAAGAGTAAGTTCACTTTCTAAAACCTGATTTTATTAGCAGCCTTGGTAGCATTAAATCTCAACATAAGTTTCAGAATTTTGCTTGTAGCATTAATTTTACTCATTTTTTCTTTTATTTCCCTGTCTGTCTCTTTCCCTCTCTGCATATTTATTCTCCCTCTTGTGTTTGGTTCAGGGGATACCTCTATTCTGCCCTCAGGTTCTCAATCTAGAGCCAGGACTTAACATTTAACAGTTTGGAGTTATTTCCCTGTGGCAATATTAGAGATGTGGTGATCAACTACTATTTTAAAGGACGTCTGTGTTTCTCCTTTACTAGTACATGAGCTAGAACCGCAGGGGCACTATGAACCTGTGGGGCACAGGTGGGAGCCGAGGAGAGGGAAACTTTTTTCATGAACAAGAGAAAATGAACACATTCCCTGGTTTAAAATAGACTGGACTGGGCAAAAGTAGGGTTACAGTTGTGAGTATGCAAATCAGTTTATTGTGTATTATTATTTATTAATTAGTGTATTCTTTTCCATATAAACAATTGTAAACCTACTTTTACGCACACTGCAGTTAAACTGGCCAGGCACTTGTTTAAACAGAGCACTTTTAACACACTTTATATGGCATGTGCTAAATAAACTCAACACTATCATTTCCTAACTAGGAGCCTTGCACAAGTGCAGGCTTATGATTCTTTGTCTTTTACTTTTTAAAATTTTTTTATTTTTTGATTCTTTGTCTTTTAATTCAGGGGAATTCTCATCTTATATTTGAGATCAACTGTTATGTTGTTTTTCTCTTTTTATGTCTTCATTATTGCTGTGCTTTTTGAACAGAGAGCAAACCTTTCATGTATCAGTATTTCATCCATATCCAATTTTTGTGCTTAAGTGTGTCCATGAAAAATGGAAACTTTTAGAGTTTAATTTTTGTTATCTTGATAATATGCAACATGCAGAATAATCTACAGAAGATAAAATATTTATATATCTCAGCAGAATCTTCCCGGGACAGGGAGACAATTACCTTTACCTTATTTAAAAGCCTGTACGTCCTTAATGCATTCAACTGTTGATTAAATGTGAAGGTTTTTTTCTTTTTTTTACTGATTTAAATACCTGCTAATGAAGGCATCATGATAACCAAAGAATTTTATCTTCTTCCAGAGGAAATCTCTCATGGTTACTTAAATCAAGCAAAAACTTCTAACTCATACATACGGGTAAATGGCTTCTTTGATGTTTCCGAAGATCTGTTTCCCAGTCATTATTATGGTCAGCTGGGTTGTCAATTCTATTAGACAGCCTCCAGGGTCACACTAGTCAGAAGCAAGAAGAGAAAGAAAGAAGTGAATGATGGAAGATGGGACTTGAGCCACCAAGGAAATCCCCAACCAGAAGAGCAGTCTGCAGATTTGGGCTGAAATGGATACTGACGGGATATCCAGGGTAGTTCGTTCAACAGGCCAGGTGTGATCGCAGACCAGTGCCAGGCTAGACACATTAGATTCAGCTGTGGAATGTGTTAACGGGAGATTTCTAGACCTCGTTCTTAGAAAATTCTGCATCTTTGTGTCTGGGTGAGAGCTGGAAGTTGTTATTTTCTCCATGTGATTTGGAGGCACAGCCAGGTTTGGAAACCACTGATCTGGACTTTTACCCACAGTAGAGCCCTTTCTGCCATACTTAGAGAAAGTCATTGTTCTTCCTTTGCTGGAAGCCTTCTGGAACACACAACTCATGTATTCCATTTCACGGCTCCTAGTTTGCTACGAATAACAAGCACAAAATGACTTCCGGCCCAAAAGGAACTGGAATGTCTCTCGGATGACAGGGTTCTAAGACCAGTATTCTCTGTGGACAGAGTCAGTGTCTTATGCACTTGTCTTGCAGTTTGAATAAATCTGAGTCTATGCTGGGCACAAAGAAGGTATTGACACCGAGTTACTGAGACCACAAACCTCACCTCTCAAGAGAGCTCTTACCTCTTCACTTCTCCACACATTAAACAAATACGTATACTTTCCAGGATAGCCCACAAACTTCCCTTTGAAGAAAGCCACGTAGAAGCAGGATGAGTAAAAATTTACAAACTGGAACAGGAACATTTTCAAGGTCAGACTGCTTTCATACTCCTGGTAAGTTCGAGGAATTTCTGGTAAGTAAAAAACACCCAGGTTTAATAATGCACTTTCCTGTTTCTTCTTAAAATGTTTTACTCCCTGGGACAAACAGATATCTAGTTACGTTATTCTGGGAGCCTGTTGACATGTTTCCCACTCTGCTTGTAATAGACCAATATTAAATTAACTATGGATCTGCGCGAGCCTTTCCACTGGAGACTTCATGTTAATCCAATTACTGGAGAAGCCCAGGAAGCTGCATTATCACAGGGCGAAGTGCTTGCCTGGAGACACACAGTGAGAATATGGAATTCACACCCCTATCAGACTAAAGAGCACTATGTTCACCCCTACACCCCATAGTACCTGACATTCTGTAAACATATCTGATCTCTCGTCTATTTTCAATGAGGTTTAAACAAAGTAAACATATCGAGGGCAGAGGATAACTTCCAAACCAAACTGTTTTCCTCTCCTGAATTCCACAGTTATGTAAATTTTTAAAGGCATGTCCCACGAATGGTGGTAACAATAGTCCACATTTTCCTTCTCCTTATCATGATGTACCATTTAATGACTTCCAAAGATAAGACATTAGGTACTTTTCACACCACAGTAAAGCATCACGATGCACAAAAGTAAAAGAGCATGTCTTTCTGTGCTGATCACCTCCAATCCAACCAAATCCACAGCAGTTTCAGTGACACAAATACTAACACACATCATTCTAGACACACGGGTAACACCTCCATTTTAGTGAAATTTAGTTGCATTATTATAAAATCTCAAAAGTGCACACTTCAGTACTCGGCTTCAAATGCATCAAACCCTATACTCCTTGCATTTTGACAAGAAAAACTTGTTTCAGCACTCGGCACTTGCTCAAGACTTGTCACACTGGCTAGAACTTGTATGAGACACAATGCCACCCCACAAGAGAAAACACTTCATCGTCTGGTACTCGGTGCTCATCGCTCTTGGCACTCATCACGAGTCCTGGAACAATTAACGATGAGTACAGAAGTACCACCGTACAAGTAATTTTTTCATCGAAGAAAGCTACCATTTTTAAAGTACTTCGCCCTTGGGTGTTTTCTGCTACGATGTTTTTGTTGTTGCTAGCAGAAAAAGAGAAGTAAAGTTGAGAGAAGAACTCCAAATTGGAGGATGATAGTTAATGAAAGTTGCTGCCGAATGCTCCCTGCTGGGTGGAAAACGTGCTCTTCCGGTCCCAGGGAGCATGTCAGCGCGCAGATTCGGAGGGGGGCTCCGGAGAGAGAGCACTCTCAGAAGGAGCTGGGGCCTTGAGCAGAGTCTCTGATCTATTTCCAACTTGCTGGAGCAAGACTTGAAGTGACTCTGCTCTGTGCTACTCTCCCGGGTTCATCCTCCCACTCCACCTGTGACCTCTTTACCCTCCTTCATGACTTTAGTACACCTTTTATTATCTTAAAAAATATGAATCTCCCAGTCAGGGCACAGGTCTGGGTTGCAGGCCAGGTCCCCAGTGGGAGCCACGTGAGAGGCAAGCACACATGGATGTTTCCCTCTCTTTCTCCTTCCTTTCCCCTCTCCCTAAAAATAAATAAATAAAATCTTAAAAAAAAGAAATGAATCTAGAGTCAAAGACATTGCAACTGGACAGAGAGGCACTAAATTTTACATTTATTAAGGAGCTGATCTATTTTTCTCATGATGGTTTTCAAAACCAAATACCTTCTAAACACCACACACATGAAATAAAAATTATCTGTGCTTGAAAAAAGTAAGAATTTTATTTAGGATTCAACTAATCCCATCAAGGGATGATTAAGATAAGAATACTCAAAAAGATCTATAGAATCTTTATTCTTCTTTTTAGCTCTTCCTCCTGCTTTCACTGTATTGGCCTGAATGTAGTTGTGAGGGGGTTCTGAAGTACCAGGCTATTGGGTCTACCTAGAGAGCAAAATTGCCCATAGATGTACCTTTAAAAAATCAACTCCCTGGTTATGATCCAAAAATGGCTGTGAGCACCGGTAGGAACCTTGTTTCAGAGTCGTACTAATAACTAGGCAGCTTACCCATTTTTGTAATCCAGGCAGATATCTTTTCATAAAAGAAATTTAAGATCAAGATGACAATAAAGTTCAGGCAGGATCCAGTGAGTGATGTGGTTATCTGAGGAGTGAGGAAACTTTTGACATGTTTTAAGGATGCGTCACTCTCCATGAAGCTAGAGAAGGTAGCGAAGACCGACAGGCGGTACACAATCACAGCTACCATGCACGCAATGACAAGAGACATCTGTGGAAGAGAAAGACAGGCCTGGTCACTCTGGTCCCTGCAGCCCTGCCCTGCGTGCACTTCTGAAACATACTGTTCTCTTCTAGTACGCTTAGCAGATCTGACATGGAAAAGAAACCAGATGAACACTGGTAAGGCCTAAGTTAGAGACAAGGTACATGAAGCGTCTGGGTAGGTCTGAACTAGAAGAGCATCCATGGCCTGTGCTCTCACAAGAGTTAAAAAAAACTAGTGAGGAGGCCAAATCCTGCCTGTGGTCTTACCAGTTTTGGCATGGCCTTGGAGTTACAAATGTGTTTTACATTTTTCAAGGTTGTGAAGAAAAATCAAGACAATTGTGTGCCAGAGACTGTTGGTGGCCCACAATGCCTAAAATACACATGGCCGCTTTATTAAAAAATGTTTGGCAACCTCTCCTGATTGTAGTTAAACATGTAGTGTATAAAGATGACTTACTTTCCCAAGAAAAATACATTTAAAGATTGTATTTCTCCTTAGAATATTGCCATTTAGTGGCCTGATAGTTTAGATATTTGTATAGATTTGGTATAAGTTTTATATATTTCGCATAGGCAAAACCCCAAAAATTTAGGGACAGCTTTATATCAATGCCTAGAGAATTTTACTCTGAAAGTTGAGGAACTGAATCAAATAGAATAAATACTCGAAGTAAAAGATAGAAAAACTTTCTGGGACCACACTCCAGAATACTTCTCAAGGAGAAACTGATTGTTACACCATTTATTCTATCCTCTTTTCTTAATAATTTTTATATCATTTAAGAAAATGTATATTTACAATAGTAAAATCAATACATTTAACAAGTAATGTTAAAATAAGAAATTACAGGACAACACAGACTGGCAAGGCTAAGCTATCGTCTATAATTGTTGATTTTTTATACTTCAACCTGTTAAACTCTCAGAGGTTAACATACTTCTTTTCCTAAAATTAAAGTCCAACTGTAAGAGGCACATGTTTGGAGAGAGGGCAGGAAACAGATTGTGGCGATCAAGGAATCTATCAGCTAAAAGGCACAGAGAAAACTTGCCTCCCTCATATGGGGTATGATAATTAAATGCTTCAAGTAGACACTTTCTGTCTATCCACCTCAGCAAGATAATGAAAGTTTAATGGCATGAGGGTTTTTTCTCTTTGTGCAGATATTTTAAATGGTGATAAAGATAAATAAATTGTTTTTAAAAAGTAACCAAAGAATGTGCAATGAAATTGTTTAGGCTGGTCTGGTTTCGAGCTGTCCCCTAGTCCAGGAAGAGCTGGGAGCGGGAGAGAGACGGGCTCTAAGACAAAGCGCCTCCCTCTCACCCCAGCTGTCTTTCCAAGGTTCAATTGTGGTCCATTATGGGAATTACAGTTTATTTTATCTAAGAGTTCTACTCAAGATAAAAAGAGGGGGGGGAGGAAGGAAGGGGCTCACAAGTCGTTCGGGGTAAGACTGTTGGGATAATGCTCCCGTGGCTGCAGATCCAAGGGATAAGTTTTTTGAAAATGCTCACCCATAACGTCACTGTGGCTCCTGACAAAAAGTACCACGGAATCCGATTGTACAGAGGCATGTAAGGTTCCAACTCCTATAGTTTTGAAGAAATTAAAGCAAATTTCAAAATCTACTCTCAAAGTTGGGACTTCAAGCAGTAGTCAAAATCATGAAGCCCACTTAAAGTAGAAACCTCCCGGAGTCCACTGCAGCTCGTGGAAAGCTACCTTCTAGCAGGTTCGTTCCCTTTAGGTAGAAAGCTTCAGGGCTCTCAGGTGAGATATTTTACACATGATATGAGACATCCCAGGTACACGCTATTTCTTGAATGCTAAAGTAGAGTGGTATTTAGGTCTCAGAGACAGGAGGGCAGCTGCTTAAGTAGATATGCTTTAATGATGTTACAATTTCACTCTAACTCAATTGAACTGAGTTGAATTGTGTTGCTCTGTAACTGCTCTGCGTGATATGAAACAGGATACCTTCTTATACTGATGGGATTGTGTTCTTCCACACAGGTCAGGGGCCCAGGCTTTTCCATTTTTATGCTTTTTAAGTCATTAATGGAAGATAGTTATTATACCAGCTGACATACTGTAAAAAATACCTATGAGCATAAATCTAAATCATATAATTGTATCTAAAATACAAGGCTTTACATCTTGTGAATTGTCAGGGCAGATAGTGGACACACAAGTCAACAGGTGGAGCCAGCTGTCCTAGGGCTCTATCGAACCGGGGACATGCGCATGTATGTGATTATGTCCATGTGGACGTGTGTATAGAATGTGTGTATGCACACGTGGTATGAGAACATGTGTGGATGTCCACATATGGATGGGTGTGTCCCTAATACGAGCTCAAATGTGAAAGCTTTGGTTGTTTTTAACCACTAATGAAGCACTGCAAATAAGTAAAAAAACTCAAGTCTTGATTTCAAAAGCATTACAGCTAAGTGGATGATTCACAGTGAATCAATACCTACTGTGTCATCAGCTAGTTTCAAAAGTAATCATTCAGTACATGTGGTTTTCATTTCAATTATTTTTGGCAAAGACAAGAGGCCTGCTTTTATTTTTTTATCCCATGAAATATGAATAGATACACATAATGTCATTAGTATGACAACACCTCTTTTAAACAATTTCATAATTTCAAAATGTTAATTTCCCCCAAGTTGCTAATGTATTTTCTCAGTTGTTTTTCCCCCTTTACACATTTACTCAATTTTTTAATGTTTCAGTGCAATTTAGTAAATGTTGAATGAATGCCTGAACTGGGTAAAGAATTTTGAGTTCTACACTGCAAGAACAGTGCCCTGAACGAGTAGGAAATTCTACTGAAGAGGCTGCATTACAGACATATTCTAGTCTCCTTTTAATAGCATCCATTAACACAGTGATTACAGATTATGGAAATGTAGGAGCTCTAAGAATATACAATCAAGAGTCTGGTGTTTGATGGCAAAGTTTACCTTCCGCTTTCACATGAAAAACACTGAGGTACCGAGAAGTCCAATTACTCAGTCAACATATGGCTGGTTTGCCAGTTAAAGATTCCAAAATAGAGACTTTTACCCCAGATGGCAGTTAAGTGATCTTCCCATTATAATCAATTAAAAAGGGACAAGTGGAATAAAATTTGATCTAATAAAACAAACATTTGTAAACCCAGTATCTTAATATAATACTAATTTAATTTTGCACATTAACTTTCGTTTCATGTCTACATATTTACATACTATATTTTTAAAGCCCACAGCCTTGGGGTTATTTCAGAACAACCAAGTGCCAGGGAGGAGTCTCTGTATAAATAAACGAAGACTGCCCATGAGTTAAGATTAACTGAAGCTGGGCCACGGGTCCACCCTGAGGTCCATTATAGTCTTCTGCCTACTTTGTATGTGGTTGAAATATATCATAAAAGTAAGTAAAGACATTTATAGGATTTTTACATGAGAGAATATTTTAAAGGCAAATTAAAAGGCTCATCATCGTTTGAGAGACAACCCGCGGCAGCATAGACACGCTGCCCGCTACAGTGTTCTAATCTACCTTGGTCACCGGGTTCATTTTCTTGTGTTTACACATAGCTTCAAATTCAGGCCTCAACTGAAGTTGCTGCTGTTCCTCTTCAAAGTCCACCAGGTCCCACTCATATTCCAGTCTGGCTTGACGCTGTTTCCAAAACTCCAAAAACAGTGTGACTATAGAGACATAAATAGATAGAAATAAATACAATCAAGAGATGGTGAAATAAAGTGAATAAGAAACTAACTTGGTTCTCCTCTAGTTTTATTTGTATATTTATTTTTACTGAACTTATTGGGTAGCATTGGTTAATAAAATTATATAGGGTTCAGGTCTACAATTCTGTAATAATTCTGTTCAGGTGTACGATCATCATTTGAATATCTCATTGAGTGTTCACTGACCCAAATCAAGTAAGTTTCCCCTATTTTTAGGTAATTTTTAAAATCCTCACCTGAAGGTATGTTCATTGATTTTAAAGAGAGAGAGAAACATGGATGTGAAAAAAGATCCATCAGCTGCCTCCCATACGTGCCCCAACTGGGGACCAAACCCGCAAGCTAGGTATGTGCCCTGACCAGGAATCAACCTGCAAATGTCTGGTGTACGGGACGACTCTCCAATCAACTGAGCCATCTGGCCAATATCAATTTGGTTACATAATGGTTCTTCTGTCATTAGGTTGAGGACAAAATTATAAAATCATTAATATTGGCATAACTATGTAATAATATTGAAATAACTAATATAAAATTCTGAGTTAATTTCTCAGATAGCAGCCATGCAAGGAAAAAAATCAGGCTTATTACTCTCTCTCTTCATTAAGATAATTTGAAGGGATATTTAAACTTAACTTTTTACTAACACCTAGATTTTGTCTGCAAAATCAGTCTTTTACTGAAATCATTCTTTTAGTGAAAACCATGTGAGCATTATACCTTAGCAAAATTTACGAAAAACATATGAGCCATTCCACAGAACAGTCTCTCTAAAATATATATTCTTTGTTTGTGACATTATTTACAATAGTCAAGCCAGGAAAACAACCTGAGTGTCCATCCATAGATGAATGGATAAAGAAAAGGTGGTTTATACACACCATGGAATACTACTCAGCCATCAAAAAAGGAAAGTCGTGCCATCTGTGACAACGTGCATGGACTCGGAGGGTATTGTGCTAAGTGAGATAAGTTGTACAGAGCCAGATAAACGCTGTACAGTCTCACACGTGGAATCTTAAAAAAGGAAACTCACAGAAACAGAAACAGAGGACAGTGCTGTGGTCGACGGGGGTGAGGTGGGGTAGGGCGTGTCCACTTGTAAAATCAGTAAGTTCGGGGCTGTAATGTACAGCACGGGGGCTATGGTTAAAAACACTGTGTTGTGTATTTGACAGTTATTAAGAGTGGATCTGAAATGTTCTCATCACAAGAAAAAATTGTAACTATGTGAGGTAATGATAACTAAACTCATTGTAGTAATCATTTCACAATATATACATATGATAAAATAATTATATTTACACTTTAATAAAATATTATATGACAATTATACCTCGATAAAACTGGGTAGAGTGAGTGGAGGTGACCTAAGTATCTAACAATAAAGAACTGGGTAGATAAAGGGTGATAATACAAGGCAATTCAAGGCAATTCTATTCATTCATAAATATATACACATACACATCAAACATACACATATTCATTACTACAAAAGGAGTCCCATTGTTCATTGTTTGTTTTATAAGGAAGTGGCTTAAATTATATATAATGGAATACTATTTATGGAAAGTTATATGAACACACAAGCCAACACAGAGAGAGTAAAAGGTTCTAAAAATCATGGCCGAAATAATAATTCTATTTCTGGTAATTTTAACATTTTTTCCTGTTTCAATGTTCTGCTTGAACTTCCTAAGATGGGTATGTATTTTCATTATAAACAGGCAATTTTTTTTAAAAAAAGCACTTTTACCCTTTGGTACAAAGCACAGCGTACATTATTTCCAGGTCTTAATCCCTTGGACAAGTGTTGTTACCGCCTGCGTTGCCGACTCATCCTTTGATTCAGCCTCACTGTTAGTTGTCTTTGTACTAAAACAAACATCCTGGAAGTTCTGTGTTCATAGAATTTGGCCAAATTCTTCAAAAACCAAAACTATACCAACTCACTGCTACAATCAACTTTTCTGAAAGAACCAGCTGAGGGCAGCATGTCTGCAAAACTCTAGTGTTGCAGGGAGTTCCAGCGGCTGCTCCTCTGCTTGTGAGGGACGGTGCTGGGGAATGGTCTCCGCCAGTGGAAACAAATGGAAACTACTGCCTGTAGTTTAATGTGCGTGCCTGTCAGTCACTCCTGACTCCACTTAATGACTGAGGCAGGATACGGCTGCCACATCACGAAGAGAGTCCACACATCAACTTACCAAAGTTAGGGCTGCTGGGAAATCGCTAGTAAGATTTCTCTATCCACTGTTCTCTTTGAATCTGGGCTGCTTTCTCTTTTTTTAAATTTATTGTTGTCCAATTAGAGTTGTCCCGCCTTTGTTCCCCTGGTGCACCCAAACCCCAACCCCCACCCTCCCACAGTCGGTGTCCCCAGTGGCCGCTCTCGTTGGACCACAGCAGCCAGGCAGAAGCGATGGAAGCCCTGACATCCCTCTGCCTCACACACACCCCAACAGATTTTGTTGTCTCTTTGCCTGGATCGAGCTACCCTTGTGTTTTGCCCAGTTTTTAAATGCACATATTTGTGTTTGCTAAAGATTCTTTTTTAACTGTAAGAAAAAAAAACTACTTTTTTTCCTGAATTTTGGGACAGGTTTTAGAAGTCTGTAGGCCTCCTCTCCCTGAGTTACTCTTAGAGAAAGTATCTTCCTCTTTGATGGCGGAGCAATTTCATAACACTTCTACTTCCCATGTGAAATAAAAAAGGTGAGATTCTGGAACATTCCCAAAATTAAGGGCCCTTCCACTTAATGTGAAACATTTTTATCAAAAGGAACTGGAAGCTGGCGCTAGAGTCAGCCACAGGAAACGTAGCCTCTACACCAACTTACTAACCTTCTGCAACTTTTTTATTCTTATTCTACTTTGTATCCGTGACTCAATATCCTCTAGTCCCCCAAATTTTGTTACTCTGTCCTGAATTAACCACTTATTGACCCTGCATTTTACCACAGCTGGGAGACAGTGTGAGCCAAATACTCATGCAATTTCAGAAATTAGGTTTTCTCTTAGAGAAATGCGCAGATGATTCACAGAGACATTTTGTGGACCGAGAACTGAGGACCACTGATGTGGACTCCGGCAGTGTGCTGATGCTACGCCAGCCACAAGGATCCAGAGTCACCGCTGCTGGCACACAGATGGGCCATATAACCTGGAACGCGGAGAAAGTCGTTTTTTATGTCACTATATACTCACCCCAAATTCCCATGAATATTGCAAAGAACACTGTTGACTCATTATCGAACAAATGGGAGACCTGTAAAAACAAAAAGAACATCACGAAGAGTAGATAGGAATGCAATGTAAAAGGAGAGAAATTCCAAGAAATCCCAAACACATACACACCTTTGAAGCCAAACACGTGGAATTTAGTCTCCAATAATCACATGTTGAATCACAGAGTGGGCACATGATAATCTGGCCTCCTATCTTGGGGTCACAGATCTCCGAGCTGCAGAGGGAACAGCAAAGTGACTTTCAAAGCAATGTGTGTCTGGGTGAGAGCACAAAGCTGTTCTTATCAGAACCGTTCATACAGCTTCACTCATGGCAGAAGGGGGAACGCAGCAGCAATTTCTGGGCTAGGTCAAGTCATGCTTTGAGGAACCGAATTTTTGGAACTAATCATTAAAAACAGATTTCCCATAAAGCACCAGGTGAGGGGCAGCTGCTTTTTTGATATTTCTTTTTCAGAAATATCAATTATCTGGGCTGCCATAAAGAAACATTCTGAAATGAATGTCATGACAAATAACAACACCAGTTACAAGCAGCATGAGATGGAGACACGTTCTCTAGCTGAGCAACTCGGCGGCACTTACCTGCTTGTGGTGCTGTGCATCGACAATAAGCCATAAACAAAACAAGCCAAGCCAACTACAGCTGCAAGGAATAGCATTTCTGTGTAAAATCCGAGAAAGACAAAATACATGCCAATTTTTTCTCCATAATAATTCCTATGAAAGAGAATAAAGATAGAATCAGAGGCTGGAAAACTGATCCAGTCCAGACCGCCTTGTTTTGCATTCAGACACACCCGTGTTCTAATTTTGGCTCCACTGCTTTCTGGACGTGTAATTTTGGTAACGTGACTAAACCCTCTACACTTTAATTTCCACACCCTAACATGTAGGTGATGCTTATGAGAGTAAAGAGATAACATGCCTAAGTAGGAAGCCAGCTGAGTGAAAGTTAACTTCTAATTTTGAAATAAGAGTGATTTAAATTTTTTCTAAATTTCAATAGTTTACATGTTTAAAATAAACTGGAAAACATTCTGCAGTGTGACTTCTAGCAATTAATTTAACAAATCAAACTACCCACACAATCTGCACAGACTTATGCTTTACTCCGGTTTCTGAAACTGAAGAAGGTACTCTGACCACACTAGACAAGAGTGCTTGTACGTATCAAGTTCCACCTCCCTCCAAGTCTGGGTCTCTGATAATACTTCTGGAACTGTGAGGTAGGTAGCACCCCAAGGAATTTTAAAAGTGACTGCTGCCCTGGCTGGTGTGGATCAGTAGATTGAGTGCCAGCCTGCAAATAAAAGGGCTGCCAGTTCGATTCCCAGTCAGGGCACGTGCCTGGGTTGTGGGCCAGGTCCCCCCAGTTGGAGGCATGTGAAAGGCAACCACATACTGATGTTTCTCTCCCTCTCTTTCTCCCTCCATTCCCCTCTCTCTAAAAATAAATAAATAAAGTATTTTAAAAAGTGACTGCTTAGTAAAAGTTCCACAAAATCCACGGTTCAACTCTTGCTTACAAAAAGGTAAAAAGTAACATCATTAATTGGCATAATAGTTCAAGTCTTAAGCTGTTTACTCCCAGTACCCCTTAAGGAATCCCTTGGGAAACCAGAGAATGTAGAACAGCTCACCATAAATTCTTTTCAGTTTCCTAATAGCAAGCTATATATAAATTTATTACAGCACACAATACTAAATTGTAATTTCAAAAAAGCAGCTCTGAACATGAAGGGAATAAGCTTAATTTCACAATAAGATGTAAAAATGTTTTTCATATTCAATATTAATTTTATTTAACCTTTCTTCAGTTTTCAAAATTTCTAATTACTTCTAATTAAACAGACATTTTACTGCTTGCATCTTTCATTCATTTTGTCTTATCATTGAGTTGTAAGAATTCCTTAAATATTTTAGATAAGAGTCCTTTATTGATATGTATGTTGCAACTATGTTCTTCAGTCTGTGGTTCATCTTTTTATCTTTATAACAGTGTCTTTTAAAGTATACACGTTTAATTTCAATGAAATCAAATGCATCCATTCCTTAAATTGTGCTTTTTGTGTCTTATTTGAAAAGTCGATACCTAACTCCAGGTCACATATATTTTTGTTCTATGTATTCTTCTTTTATAGTTTTAGCCCTTATACTTGGTTCTCTGATCCATTTCACATTAGTTTAAATTTTTGTATAGCAAAAGATAAAAATTCATGTTTTTCATATAGATTTCCATTTGTCATAGCATTTTTTTAAAAAGAGTCTGCTTTCCCCAAACAATAACCAGGCACCTTTTGGATCTGTTTCTGGACTCTTCTTCCATAAAGGTCTTATTTGGAAATACTTTTAAGTACATAAAAATGTTATAAGAATAATTCAAATAATATCCACACACCCTCTATTTCACTGCAAAAGTACTGTTCTGTTTGCACTTTCTCTTCATATGTGTATTTCTTTATATAAATAAATATGTATATTTCTTTTAAGATATATATACCTTTTTCTCAACCATTTGAAAATACATTGGTTGAACACATCATGGTCCTTTATCCCTAAATACTTCATTATCTCTTCCTAAAAATAAGGGACGATGACCCTCGAAAATAAACCATAGAGATAGTAGCTATTTTCTGCAAAAGCTGCCTCTGTGATAACAGTGTTTTCTTTTTGCCTTTATAGTTCCTTAGTTTAAAACTTTATATTATCAATTTTTAAAATAAATTTTGTTAAAAACTTACATTTATTTAAATGTTATTGCACTATTGAAACAGAAAAGGAGTATAAACTTGCTATAAATAACAAGTTACTAGGATAAAGAAAACCTTAAAAAGTCGTTAGATTTAAGCTTGACACTGTCATCTGATGAAACATCTAAACTATGTTGTAAAATTAGCAAGTTGGTAAAATATTACTGACACACCTGCAACGACCTGAGATGTATGTGTTTATGTGTATCAAGGGTTGTGAACACGAACCTTAGGAGAACACTTACAGCTGCAACACCTGCAGACAGTTCTAAAATGTTAGACGACTAAATAGTCTCAATATATTTTGAACAACGTATAACGTGAAAACCTTCATTCTCACAGCTTCACTTCTTTGAAAATATACTATGAAAATATTCTCCAAAGAAACAATGTCTGGAGATGTTCTTAGCAGCCTTGATCTTACAGTAAAAAATTTGAGACAGCCTCATGGTTTTCAGTAGAAAAATAGATCAATTAATTATGCCAAATGTTTAATATGGCACGCTAAAAAGCATGAAGTACATCAGTGTCTATTCACAGGGGTGGGTACCAATACTATATTATTTAGCAAAAAAAATAAAATCTCGACAAAAAGCAAATAATGATATCATTGCTCTAGATGAAAAAAATGGGTGTACTTTATTATACATGCACATAAAAATAAGACTGAATGGATATTACCAAATCAGCAGTAGTTACCTCTGCAGAGTTCAACTGAAGTGAAATTTAACTTAAAACTTTGCATACCTCATTGTTAGTTACACTTAAAAAAAGATTTTTATTTATTTAATTTTAGACAGAGAGGAAGGGAAGGAGAGAGGGAGAGAAACATGAATGTGTGGTTACCTCTCATTTGCCTACACTGGGGACCTGGCCTGCAACCCAGGAATGTGCCCTGCGTGGGAATCGAACTGATGGCACTGTGGTTCACAAGATGACACTCAAGCCACTGAGCCATACCAGCCGGGGCAATTAGCTAAACTTTTTGATAAATATGTTATCCTATAGTTAAGAAAATTAAATGATCCCTATTCAAAATAATTAAAACATCCATTCAACAAAGAGTTCACAAGATGATTTAGAGAAAGCATCAGGTTATATACCCAGCTGCCTTTTATTCTTAAAAGTTTCTCCTTACTTGCCTTCAACAAAACTGTTGAGATAACATTTCAAATGATTTGCATTTATGCATCAAAATCAGTCTCCTACAAAGGATGCTGTGATGCTGTGCAACCATATAAATCACCAAGTGAATTGTTCTAATCGATTGTCACTTTACTGAAATCATAGCAGGAGTCTCCGAACGACCTGTATGTGGTATCATAATGGTTCAAAGCAGAAGCCTACAGCCAGTCTTCTTACTTAGCTAATAAAACTGTCTAAGAAATTGTCTGATGGCATGGAACTCAGATAGGCTCAGATATTGAGACTGTCAATGCCCTGAGACCAAAGATAAGAAAAAAAAATAATTAAGGTTACAGAACAATTGTCTCCACACTTCTGAGATCAATATACACACACATGCACACTCATACACAGCCTTTCTGCTATCTTCTAAATTCCTGGACTGAGAAGAAAACAAAAGTATTATTATGTATTAAGCAGTACATGCTAGCTCCTATGCCAAAAATGTGCATCTCATTTAATAATCAAATAATCCCATAAGTGTTATTTCTATTCCCACTTTACAGCTGAGCCTCATATAAGTAACTTGAACAAGTGTAGAGAGCTTCTAGGAGGAAGAACTTGGATTTGAACCCAGCCTACCACAGGACTGAAGCCCAACCTCTGAACCACTGAGCTATTTGTGCAAGGTGGTTAAGAGCATTCTGAACAGCACTGTGTTCACAAGTTAATGACTAAATGATAGTGTAGATACAAAACTAGGAAGGCATAAAATGTAGAGGCTAAGAACAGTTGTAAAGAAAATGGAGAACACCGTGCTAAGTGAAATGAGCCAGTCAGGGAAAGACTAATACCATATGTTTCACTCACATGTAGAATTTAATGAACAAACTGAACTAACAAGCAAAACAGTTACAGACTCATTAGATGGAGGACAGGTGACAGCCATGAGGTGGGGTGGAGGGGGAGGTTAGGGGATGGAGGGGTTGAGCAAAAAGGAAAATGACTCATGGACATGGACAACAGTGTGGTGATGGACAGCAAAAGGGGAGTATAAAAAGACTAAACGGTAATGAAAACAAATACAATAAAGATTAAATGAAAAAAGTAGAATATGATGCCATTGTAAATACAAATCACGTCAAACTTTAATCATTGGTAGGACCCTACCTAAGAAACTTACCTAATCAAATCTAAAGGTTGCTCCTTGTAAAAATAGGAAAATCGAGCCCAGTTCTGGAAAAGGATGTACCTTTCATTGACAGGATTAGGAGGTTCTGATGGCTTCCAATATTGACCCTGCGGATATTCAAGGAGAAAGTACATGAGTGACACAGCAAAAGACTGGAGTGCAAAGTAAACCAACACTGCTTTTATGAGGTTAGCGAATGGGGCAAACGTTCTCTTTCACTCTTAGGCTTGGACGTTCGTATTCCACTGATGTGAAATTATTTATTGAAATCCATAATAAACCATAGTAATAATGATTTATTTTTGACTTCTTACACCCAATTATTTTAATATTCACAGCCCAGGAATTTATAAAACTAGGTAAGTGGCTGAGATTTCAGAAATAACCCAACATTGTTATTGTAGAGACTGAAGCATAAGCCCCAGGACCCAAAGTCCTGCTGCTATGACAGGAATCTCCCCTAGGGAACCTATCTTCACTGACATGCATGTCTCAAAGAGCTTAAAATATACACGAGAACTTCAGCGCTTAGAAGCCTCAGTACTGTTTCGTACACAGGTCCTTTCCCCACTGTTAGATGCTGTTGTTTCCACTTCTTCAGAGCCCAGCAGAGCACTGACTGCACACCGCTGCTCGATATATTTTTTCCAGCTGTTCGCCTAGACAGGTGAATGACTGAAGACAACACTAAATCCATATCCAGTGCGAAATGAAGCACGTGTGAAAATCCCTGTCATAAGGTGTAAGATTTGAATCTTCCAGATTCCAACAGTTTTCTTCTCCTGTAGCTAACCCTCTGAATCTTGAGAATTGAAATAGAAAAAAGAAATGCCACCTATTTATATATCAGGAATAATGATTCTTTAAAGTACGTTGGTGAAAATCCAGTAACTAAACTTGAATTCAGAGGAAAAGAAAGAAAAAAAGTAAAATCAACACTAGATTAAAGCTCTCAGTAACACTGACTTTCTAATAAGCATGAAGGATTCTACTGGAACGCTTCATGTATGGGTTAAAATTTCTGGTAACTGAGGATATTTGGTCTTTCTAGTTTGGCTTTATGGCCTGGTAATAGGAAAATGAGAATTAATGTCCAAAAAACAAACAATCCTCAAACTGTTCAAAAACTGAATGAGCTCATCTACGAAAAGATTGACAAAGAATGTATTGCCAATGTTTATTCACACCACAGAGATCTCTCCTTTAAGCCCATGACATTTTTTAGAATCCATGTTTTAGAAATTCTTTTGCCCCAGAGGAAAAAATATGGGGGATGAGGAAAGAGTGGGGACTGGAGGGGTAGGGAGGATGCTTTCACCTGAACTGATACTCCTCTTGAAAACTGCTATTCACTTTGGAAAATTCTACGGTGCCCTTATAGGAAACATGTCAAAGACAACCAACTACCCAGTGTGGAACGGACTAGTCAGTCACCACACCGTTGAATAGACACTGGCAGAGGAAAGCTGGCACAAAGGTTAACATCCTGGAAAAGAGAGAGTTCAGCTTTGGGCTTTTGGAAACTACTAGAGCAACATTACCTTAAAAAAAAACAAGCAATGATTAAGAGGCCACTTGTTTAAATGGACATACTTGGTTCTACATTCCTAAGGAATGGGTTTCTCATAAAAGAGGGTATGTCATCAAAAAGTCTAGATAAGTATGGAAACATAAAACAGGAATAAAAGAAATGAAAGGTCCAAGTCATGATTTATCTCAAAATAGCTCGTATACGTTTAGCCATAGATGTCTACTGCCAACAGCTGGTGGTATTTAAACATGTAATATTCAAAAGAAAAAGTTTCCCCCAGAAACTAGGCCACCAAGCTTTCAGGTTTGACTGAATGGGTGCATCATATAGAATGCCCCTTCTTTGTTAAACTGATGAAGGTCAATGGTTTCACACAATGATCTGACCGCCTCCAAGAATCATTCTTCTGAGCCGCAGTAACTGGTCTGAACCTTTCTTACGGACTGAAGTAAGGTTCAGACAGGGGCCTGTTTCGATGTTGTGCACACCACTAATTTCCCGGAAATCCCAAGTCTGTGAGCAATTCATGGATGTATTCCAGTAATATCTAACAGAATGCTTCAATATAATTAAAACAAGTTATGCCTTTGATGAATGAGTACCTGAAGGCATTTAATTCATGCATGTAATTTAAGTCCTTTACAGCTTTAAAACTTTATACATGAGAAAAGATCTGAAGAACTCAGATAGAAGTTCCAAATATTATGTCCTAAAATGTCCTTTTACTAGAACCACTATTTTCAATATGGGTCCTAAAGAAAAATCACATGCAAATGTAATAATTTTCCCAAAATGAACTTCCATTACAACCTCAGTGTAAACAGGTATTAATTCTGTGTATCAGTATTGGCGATAAAGCTCTCAGATTGCAACCAGGGAGCCTTTAGGGACTTTCCCAGCATGTGAGAGGATTAAGCAACCGGTCAAAAAAGGGAAACCAAGCTAATACTTACATCATGGAGTGGATAGGCAGAGGAGTAAGTGTTAGAATTCAGGAGTCTTTCAATCCCAAACCTTTTCTTCCCATCTTCTGTGCTAAAAGGACATCGTGACAGAATATAATAAACCTACAAGGTAAGAATAAAGAGACAAGCATTTCATGAATGTAGGTTTTCTACATTCTTTTCAATCACAATTTAACAATGTCTGCTTTGACTGTAAGTAGGGACTGTGATTACAGAAGAAATCTTCCCTTTGTGGTTTGGGGGAAGATGTAGAGGGTGGGCTACATGGGGTTTGCGGGTATTTCGGCCCCTGGGTATGAGAGCCCATTGTTCCCTTGGGGGGAGTGGAGACTGAATCTCAACTTGTTTTGCTTCTCTGCCAAGTTCCTCTGGGAGTCTCTTGTGCCCAAATTCCTGTTACAGTTAGGGCTTCAAGATGGAGTCAAATATCACTACAACTAACGATTCAATTAGGGGAATGTGGAGTGGATTTGATACTTGGGCAAGCTGTCTGAATAATTCTATTACTCTGATATTTATACAAGGCATTTTCTTGGTATCTACATTTATTAAGTCAGGATTATCATACCTCTGCAACTATTTTGCTGTCACTTGTATCTTTACATGAGTCTTCTCCTCCATATAATTTGGGCTTTGGTGTCCTCAGGTCTTATATTTTGGTCAATTCAATCTTACCTGCTTTTTGTGTTCCAGCAACTTTTCAGAATGTCTGCTTTCCTGATTGCTGAATTTGATCCTTTTAGTACTATTTCAGATGTATTTGCTTCCCCCCATTTTTATATTTTAGCATTAAAGAAACTGTGATTGGAATGATTATTGTACTTGAATTACCATTTTTTAATCTGGTTAATTTACATTAAAAGTGAGCATAATATTCCATCTTGGTCAATCTTAATTTATGTACGGTAGCTTTAATATTTATAAACAATGTGATAAATATTAAGTATTGCACATACTTTGAATTATATTCTCAGGAAAGATTCACCAAAAGAACTCTGTCTTGGGGTGTTAACAAAATTAAGAATTTTACTCTACCAGATACTAGAACTTGTTATAAAACTATAATACATGTAGGATGGTATTGTCAAATAAAAACAAATCCAGACTTAGGAAAGATTTTATTTGAAAAGGTTATTGTAAGAGGATGAGGTGGACCATTGCAATGGGGACATCTGTGAGCAACTGTGAGCATTTCTCAAAGTTAGGCAGAAAAGGACTTTTTTTTTACAGGGAGAAGTAAGCCAGGTTAGGGAAGTATCTTTCACTGTGCTTAAGGAAGGGCTATTCTAGATGCCAGTATTGGCTCAGGTTGAGGGTGAGTCAGAGTTTAGGGTCCTGAGGAGAAGAAAGAACTTTCATTAAAGTTTGGTCAATGGGGATAAATAACTCAGCTAAACTTTCAGCAAACAGAATGGGAATGTAGAGGGCCCCAGTCTGACTGACCCTTACTACTACGAATAACAGAGGGAGGTATCTGAGGGTAACTATGGGTGTAGAAGACCTGAAATTTCCCTGGTGCCAAAAGGAATGAAGACTTCCTCCAATTTCCCTTTCTTAGCGCATTTCCAATAGAGTACTCATAATTCTAAATTCTTTCTCTAGCCTTTGGATTTATGTAAGTCTTTTTAAAAGCTAATTAAGCCTCTTGCCAACCCAGGAGTGGTTTTCTTCAATTTGCTAGGAACTATCTCTTTTAAATGTACACATCAACAAAGAAGGCATCCCTATCGTCCTGTTTCTATGGGAGTATGGCCCGGGCTCCTGGCTCCCGACTGTAACTACCTGCTGGACATAAAGATACGAGAAGTTTATTTTTTGGATAAAGACAACCAACCCAGATGAACACTTCAATTACCAGGTGAATTTAGGTTGAACACTGTGGCAAATGGTTCTGCCAAGTCAGACTGGGAATGGGGAGGTTAGCTACGGATATTCTCTAAGTCGCATGGAGACAGGTGGTTCTCTGTAGCAAGCAGTTGCCCGGAATGAGAAGAGTGGGGGATTCCTTTAAATGTCCCAGTTTTCTAGGACTGGAGAACTCAGATAAAGTTCAACACTATTAGTTTTTTTAATCTTCACCCGAGTACATGCCTACTGATTTTAGAAGGAGGGGAAGGGAAAAACAGAGGGAGAGAAACATCAAAGTGAGAGATAAGCACAGATTGTTTGCCTCCCCAGGGTGCCCTGCACCCTGAGCAGAGATTAACCGCCCACAACTTAAGCACATGGTCTGACTGGGAATCCTGGGAATTGAAGCTGCCACCTTTTGGTTCACAGGGAGCATGGTCCAACCAACTGAGCCACACTGGCCAGTGTCAACATTGTCTGTATTGATACAAAAATAGAGAGATCGAAGCCACAAAATCAAGCCTTGCGGGACACTCAGACTATATAGATACTTGAGTTATAACAAAGGTAGAATTGTAAAATACTGTAAAAAGTATCGAATGTTTGTTTCAGTAGTTGGTGCAAGTTAAATTACTACGCATAGTGGGGGAAATGGACTCCATCTCACACCATGCACAAAAGTTCATTCCAGGTGGATAGTCCTCAATGTGAAAAGCAAAATAACAAGTCCTAGAAGGTAAGATAGGAAATGAACTTCATGATCTTGGGAGGAAAGTTTAAGAGCATTATTTTTAAAGCAAAAGCCTGAAAAAGTGGGCTATGTGAAAATTAAAAACACCTGTTTAACAGAAGAAACCATTAAAAGAAAGAAGGGAAGCGCAAAGTAAGAAAAGATCAGTAAAATATATAACAAATAAAGAGCTCATATAAAAATATATACCCTAGTCTTACAAATCAACAAGAGAAGACCTATATGAAAAACAGACAAAAACTTTAGAGGGGATTTCATAAAAGTGCCTATCTAAATGCCCAATAAATATATACAAGGAGATCAGCCTCATTTCTATTGGGGAAATGAAAATTAAAAGCATAACACAAATAAATTTCCATAAGAAGCAACCTCATACAAAGCTTCATTAGTCATCCAAATAAATGCTGAGCCAAGTGCTGTATGAGTCAATTCTCCTGTAAAAAATTTAGTAACAGGCTAACCCGATCTCTGCTGTGAGCAGTCAGAGTTGCCCTTTGCTGAAGAGGAAGTGAATAGCGACTGTGAGAAGGCACTCGAGCTTCTGGGGCACCAGAATGGTCTTCTCTTTTGACGTGGGTGGTGGTTACGCAGCTGCATAGTTTGTGATAATTCAATGAGGCACACACTTACGACTTGTGGATCTGTCTGTATTTATGTTACTAGGACTCTAAATTAATACATATTTTATAAAGTATATGTAATATATATAAAATTTTAAATGTGCTTGCTTTTAGATCCAGAAATTTTACAGATGGTATCCACTTCACAGACACATTTACATATATGCTGAAACATGCAAATACTAGGTTGTAAACTTGCAGAATTGTTTGTAATATCAGAAAAGCTGGAAACTCAATAGCTGCCAGAAGTGGAAATGTTTAATGAAATTGTTACATTTATGTAAGATGTTACAAAATACACATTGAGAGAGATATTTGTCATGATGATTGTCAATGTGTTTTGAAAAGTACAAAATTCCACACCAATGTAAAACGTTCTTATAACACTGTTCAATTTGTACAGACATAAACTAGAATGTAAGGGTAGTAATGAGGATAGTAAGGAAGAGACTTTTCTACATTAGCCTCCCAAATAACTTTCTCAATGGAGCAAGGACAGAACTGGTGTAGGAAGGGAAATTGTTGATCTTTAATGCTAAATGAACCTAAGGTATTGACACTCTTTACAAAGATCAAGAATGATTAGTGAATACTGACATTTCTATTCCCGATCAAGTTCCTAATTTGTTTCTACAGGTTCACATGATGGCCTTTTGTTACTTTTTAATGTAACATGGGTATCTGAAGTAATTTACAGTTTGCAGAGGGTCTCATATACAATGCATTCTTTCATTTAGTTCTCCCAATAATTCCAGTGTTATCATTATCTTTATTTTATGAGAGGCTATCTTGTTTAGAAAGTAGCAGAGCTAGGACTTGAAACCAGGTTTTCTGATTCCATGTCATGCGCTCTTCATTCCTTTATAGGTTGCCTCATAGGGTTGTTGCTTTTTAATTCTGGTAAGAATTAAAAGGGAGGCAATTTTTAGTTTGTAGAGTCACATTTTTACATGTTAATTGTAGGCATTGCATTCTATTTAATATGATTGTCAGTAAACTTAAAAATAGATGAAGGAACTAGAAAAATTATTATTTCAAGATTCCTCTAAGACAGGTAAGAGTACTTACTGAACCTAAAGGGAATGAAGGGTCCCACTGCTCCGGGAAACAGGGGAAGCAGACCAAGGGGAAGGGCCAGAACCCTGGCCATTCCATTACCAGGCAAGAGATAGAAGGGGTAAGAGCAAAACAGAACCTGAGTTTTTTCCCTTTAAAATCACAGCAATAATAACTAGCATTTATTGAGCATTTACTTAGTATGTTCCAGAAGCTGTTCACAGCCTTTCCTATCTATGACGTCTCAGACATCAGTCCTTGCTCTACACAAAGCAACTGAAGCACAGAAACAACCATGATTCTTCAGGGGAGAGGTTTTCAATGGTGAACTTAAAAGATTCGGGACTACAAATGGAGAGAGAATATTACTCAAAAGACTGAAAATTGTTTTAAATGAAAACAAAAAGTTCTGAGGCTTCTCAAATCCTATCTATAATAGAGAAATTAAAACATTCCATTTCCATTTGGAATGACCAATATGCCTCCTACTATACATTGAATTTACAAAACCAAACTCTAAGGTCGTAAAACCATTTTCCAGAGATCTTACAAAAATCAGAGTTCTGTCTCTGAATTAAATTCTTTCCTGAGCATCACATGATGTTTCGTTCTTTACTATGTCTGCAACAGCAACCATTCATTTTTAAACAGCTAGGGAGGTTAACACATTTCGGTGGCCCAAGCAGACTTTCAAACCCACCCAGTATCACTAAATAAATGACTGAAGTTAGGCAGGAACACCTTGCAGACGTAGGTTTGCAGATGCACATGTAGTAAAGAAAACGCAGACTCCCATCCCTTATGTGAAGGGAAATGCACAGAGGTTTTCTCTACCTACAATTCTGTTTCTTGCTGAGGACGGAAAGAAGCTTGACTGGTCATCAATGAGGAAGAGTTCCTGGCGATGTCGGCTGAATTGGGCAGTGAAATATTCAGGGTGAGGATGCTTCACATTCCTTGCCAGCTTCAGAGGCCCGAGCAAAAAGCTAAAGGGTATTTTCTCAGGTCGGGGAATATCACTCTCTTTAATGGGCATTTTGATCCCCAACACTTCTGCATAGGTAACTAACACCTCCCAAGGGGCATGGATCTTGACAAAGTAAGTTCTTCCATCTTCAGAGTTCTGTATACAGAGGAGGCAAGATAAAAGAAAGCTTACTGCTCTTTGTTATTGACCTAAGGAAGAGAAACAAAATTGTATAAAATCACGAACGAATTAAAAATATCACAGCACAGTCAATTTATTAAAATTTTTAGCATAATATTTAGAAGAGCAATTGCTCAAAACAGTTATATCCTGTATATATAATTACATATACATGTATGTACATGTTATGTGTGTGTATGAGAAAAAGAGAGAGAAAGACAAAGAGAGAATATTTTTTCAAACATATTTCAGGGTCAGTGTATACTAGCCTAAAATAAACAGATACATATGTGTTCTGGGCAATCTCTTACGTGTTAGCAACTAGCCATGAGCTCAGTGCTTAGGGTTATCACAAGATACTTACAAAGTGTAAGATGCACTTACTCTTTGTACCTAGCTTCTATGTACAGCCTACACCTAGAGGAAGAACTTTAGATAATAACAGTTCATTAAACAGGAGAAGAATCTCGCTACAGATTGTGTGGTATAATACACATTTATTAGTTCAGTAAAAAAGAGGCATAACTGAGGAGTAAGGACTGTTCATTTAAAACTAGAGAACATTAGAGTTTCATGTACAGCATAGAACCTTATATATATCTGTAAAAACAATTTTGAAGAAAATTCTAGAAAACTAGTCAATGGTATGGGATTAAAAAAAAAAAAAAGAACTGTCATATTCATGAGTAGATAAAGTTCCTTGGCTTAAATGCCGGTTGTGCTATGAGCATCCAGGGGAGCTCCTCTGGCTGCCAGATTACAGGAGCCTTGCAGATGAGACGGCTATGAAACAGAGGGCGTATCTGCACTTTCCCTGTATCCTCCAGAGTGTTCTACTCATCGCCTCAGCGCGAAGACCAGTTTACCTGAACCACAGCAGACATTACCATTCCCAGTACACACATTTGGAGCCAACAATAAAAAACAAAACTAGAAAATAATTTTTTAAAAACCCTACTGAATTACTCCCAAGCACAAAGTGTATCTTATTCAAAGACCAGAGTAGAAGAAAATAACACTTAACATGCCAAGCCTCTGGTATAAATTATCAACTATTTTTACCGTTTTGTCTTCAATTTCCAACTCAAGACCTGTTTTTCTGAGATTTTCTTCAAACTCCTTTCTCCTCTCCTATGGAAACACAAGCCAACAGAATTATGTAGAACACTTTTATTTACACAGTAACACACGGACTTGTTCCACAGCGACTAGGCCTCCGATGTTCGGGTCCCCCCACGGGCTCCCATAAAAGTGCTCCATGTATTACCCCATCTTGCTGCCATGTACTGCTTTTCCTCTGGACTGTAATTTCACAGTTTGACAAGGAAAAACTCAGTGTATTTAGGAATAATCTCCAGGAAATGTACCAGGTCTCTATCTGAAAAAATGTACAAAACTTGACTATATAATGTTTAAGAAACCTGAATATACGGGAAAACAGATCATGCTCCCATTTGGGAAGACATGGTGTTACAAAGCTCTCAGTACCCTTCAAGTAACTGCGAGACTTCACGTGATTTTAAGCCAAAATATTACCATGCCTTATTGATCCTGAAGAATAGAATAGCTTCACTTAGTAAAATTAAATTAAATGCAAATAATCACTACTTGTGGACTTCAAAACCCTGTGCTGATTGCTAAAAAAACACTGGCTCCCCAGAAGGGAAACTGCTATCCTCAGAAAGACCTGCCTGCAGGGCGGCACTGGTGCCTGGGGACTTGGTTTTCCAGAGGGTTCCCACAATCCCCCAAAGTGACAGAAGTTGCTCACTTTACCTTAACTGTTTGTACAAACAATACAGTTTATGCTAAACACCTGCTTTCCTTCTGGGACTATGACATGTTGGTATGTGCCAGGCAGAAGGTGAGAAGGTGAGCGATCAGCCCCCAATAAAATCTTAGGGCAATGAGTCTTTAATGATCTTCCCTAGCAGATGACACTTCATGTTATCAGAGGAATTAAGTGCATTCTGTACGACTTCACTGAAAGAGAAGTCTTGTGAGCCTGCTCTGGTTTTCTCTGAACTTTGCCCCACGTATCCTTCCCTTTTGCTGATTACTCGGTATGACTATATGCAGTGCCCTGTGAGTCCTTCCAGTGCATGACCAGACCTGGGGGAGTCTTGGTGTAGGCAAGAAGAAAAGGCACCCAGGGCACAAGTGGAGGTGTTGGCTTTAGGCAGAAGAATAGTTTTTCTATGGTAATGGGCAGAATGGGAGATTATGCAGGTGAAGATGGTGGCAAATGGATGGAGGTGGTGATGGAAACTTAGAACTTCTCTTCCACTCCAGTTTTCCCAGTGAAGTAGAAGAGTATGGTCAGCTAAGCCTGAAAATGGGGAGGAGGTACTGGGGGTGTGAGGAGAGAGAAAAACTAATAAAACGGTCATCCAAAAGAGTGGGAGCAGAGTAATACAAGGAAGGAAAGTGTGATTGCCAGACAGTATTAAGGGCCTGGCTGAGGTCCATGGGCACAAACATGAGGTACAGTCAGTAAGTGAACTGTATGTCTTTCTTCCGGCATGCTGCTGGCACAGAGTAGGTGGGCAGTTAGGTTTAACTAAAGTTGTTGATTTGCCAAGTAACTATAATTAAGGCAAGGAATTTGAGGCCTAAATAATGATGTAATTAGATTTTTTGACATAAGACTTACACCGGATAAGCAGAGGAAAGGGGCGAATATAGAATGGCAGTAAAAAGATGGTTCAGATAACTGTATATTATCTGGTGTAGTTGAAAAACAGAATGGTATTAGTCAGAAAGATCTGAGGGGTTGATCAGACCAATGAATGCCTGGAATGAGATTATAAAGAGTTGCAGTTGTCGCTAGTGATGTATTCTAGGGGAGTGAATGGCTGAGTTAGAGACTAAGGTCATTAGAAAAGGGAGTTCAAGGAACAGAGAGGGTAGGAGGCTAAAATAATCATCTATATATGCATCAAGATTATAGATAATTAAAAGGAAAAGAAACATTGCTGGAGAGTGCGATAGTGAACCAGAGGCTGAAATCATTGAGAAATAAAGGGAAGACCCAGCAGGGACAGATGAATGACAGCAACAGTGCATGGTAGTGACAACTCGGATAAAATTTAAAGCTCGGGAATTCTGGGGAGAATGGATGGTAATCAACAATATCCTACGAGCAGGTAAACATTTACCCACCTCTGGGAAAAGGCTGTATGAGGAAAACACAATCACCACTTGGGAGAGCTGTTGGGGAAGGCAGGCAACCTCAGTGAACAGGCAGGTGTGAAGGGGACACTGAGAGAAGGGACAGAAAAGCTGACAGTGTGTACATGCAGAAGCGTAGCAGAGGGGCTTCCAGGGAAAGGGCAGAAGAATTGGACAGGAATCGGTAGGTACAAGGTCCTATGGGGATAATATCCGTCATTTTTTGTTTTTATTTCATAGAACATTTATTTCTTGTGTGAGTATGTTAGTAGATGTGTATATATATTTACACATAAGAAACAATGTATTAATTCATTTTTTGAAATACCTAACCTGTATTGAGCATTCATTATGCTCCAATCTCCATCCTTGGCATTTTGGTATATGGCGGTGAACAAGACAAAGTCCTTGGTGTTATGAATTAATGCATGGTGTTTGATACAGTGCATAAGTAAAAAATAAATAAGTTCATGAAGGGAAATGGTATAATGAAAATAAGGACCAGAGCATAACCTAAAGGCTACTTCATATACAATGGACTAATGAACATTTAAATTAAAATTGTATACAAAAGATATGTATTTAGACATACGACTCAAATTTTAGAGGTCACATTTAATATTTAAGGTAAACTATATGCAAACATATCAGAAATTTGCAAGATAAAAAAGAAGTTGGTGTCCAAAATGTTCCAAAAATAGAACTGACTATACCCGTCCACTTTTACTCTGCCTATTCTGTTGTCTTCTTAATCAGTTTCAGCTTTTGGTAATACCTCGAGGGCTCTGTCTTTTACGATTAAATTCACTGGGAACCTCCCTGTCGAATTAGATTGTGTTTCTTTTTCATTATTCCCATTTCTTTCACATAAGTACTTACCGCCTTTAACTCTGCTTCTTTTTTTATGTCATCAACATACGAAAGCACAAAATCAATTTGCCTAATCCCATCTCGGAAGAAGATAGAGTCTTTACTTTGTTTGTCTTTTTGGAACTGTAGGAGACAGGAATGACAAACTTAAAATTATATTTCTATTTTCAAATGGCAAAAATATGATATCCTTATAAGCTAAAACCTAATCACCATCTCATTTTTTTCAGTCCTAAAATGGCAGGTGAAGACAACCAGGGTTTTCCTCAACAGAAATTTATGCTTGTTTTAGAAAATGAAGTTCCATAAAGGAGATATATATTAAACAATAAAGACTCAAGATGAAACTAAGTATATTAACAACATGCACACAACAAAAATGATAAAATTATACCCAAATATAAAATTAATATATATATATATACATCGATCCCAAAATACACATTCAGAAAGAGACCTGTTATTTTCATTAAACAACATGCCACTTAGTTCAACAAAGAAATAATGGTCACATACTACTTTAGGAGTATTTAATTATAGAACAATTAATGAACCTCAGTATCAAAAATAAACTTATGATTAAAGTTTATACTATGATTTCATAAAATTGCCACTTTCTAATTCAGCTTTTTAAGGGTTAAAAATAAAATCAAGGTGCAGTTAAAAATTAGGAAGCAGGTAGCTTGCCGCTGGCCTCAGTACAAGTAAAGTCTCATGCAAATCTCCTTTCGACATCAACTTCTTAGGCAAGCCAAAAGCAATCCTTGTCTAAATTTGTGTTATCAATTCTCTGTTTGGTAATCAGAGTTTCAAATTCATCTTTCACATTTTGTACAGTTCAATGGCATCTTCCCTTTCAAAACTGTAAAACACTAGAGAGCCTCAGAAAGAAGGGATTTCATGTTTGACTAATTTGGCCTTCTTCATAGAGTTTACGTATAGTGTATAATACTTAATGCTCGGAATAGCCCCCATATAACACTCAGAATGATGCAAATAGATAACGCAGTGGATGTCGGTGATCTCTCGATCCCTGTGATGCTAACGTATATTAGACAACTTTCTGATTCCTGTATCTAACCACTGAGTGAAGAATTAAATTTAAAAATTTTATTAACTGTTGTATCAGTTTATGAGTTTCTTTTATTATGGTGTTCTATGCTGTTTTGCACCCAAGTCAGGCCAGACAGTCCTCCCATTAAAAAGAATAAATGCAGATCAGTCACAGACAAACAAGACAGAAATCTCACATATGACCTGTTGTCTATGAACAGAGTAATTGTATTTTATCTATATGAAGACAAAGCTGGTGTGTCTGAGAAAGAAGTAGCTCCCAATGCACAGAAGGAAATGGGTGGAAAAATAGAATAAGAAACAAAAAATGTTTAGGGTCTGAAAATTAAATATCAAAATACAATAAATCAAATGGTATGTCTGAGTTATTTATACCTCAAAGGATTACATGATCATCTCCCTTCTCCTAAAAGAAAATAAAGGAACCTGAGAAAACTCAAACTGTTATCTTATACATTGATTACAAATCACTGAAAAATGTAAAATTAAAGAAAACAAATTATTTGAGCTCTCTTGTAAATCATTATAGTATTAACATAGGAAATTCACTAAAACTTGGGGAAGACAACTGGGACAAAAAAAATCACAATAATCAGACTAAATGTAATCAAAGCAAGTAATGGAGGGAACAAATACCCTTTTGCTCTAAATATGGGACAGCTATCTTTTGCATGGTATTTTATTAAAAAGCAACATATATTTACAAGTGCTCCTACTGTTTGGACAGGCTAAATCTAGGTCCACAGAGAGGTCTGGTAACAGAGGATGCACACAGAGCAGCCAGCCAAAGTCACACGCAGTGTACTTGACTATGAAGGAATAAACAAAGTAGCTAGAATAGTGATCTCAATTACATTTTCCTGAGGGTTCAGTCAAAATGGGTATACGTATATGCATCCCTTCTCCTGAAAGCCAACAAACTTCTGTTGTTATGTTGTACCCTAACTAAAAACTGCAACTTTTAAAATGCAAACAAAATCACTGGTGGCCTTATAAATCACCATGAGGTACACGTCAAGACTGTTAACAAAAACTGGTTGAAACCACAGGGGCAGAAACACCTGATAATGTTGTTACCTACAACCAAATACTATTAAAACCCATCATTCTTAACTTTTGCCTAAGACGTGACACTGAGATCATATTTTGCATCGTGTGTAGGAGTCTGTGTTTGTATTTAAATTTATTTGCTATTAGAAATGCCTATATATGAGCCAAATATTAAGGTGCCTTTTTTTGAATGAGGTATTTATTCTGAAGTTCATAAACTTAGATTCCTGTTGGGGGTTCATAAACCTCTGAAATTGTATATGAGTTGTATTGGTGTATATGTGTGTATATGTATATATGTATGTATAACACACACACATATACCCATTTTTAGGAGAAGGTGCCATAGCTTTAATCAGGTCAAAACGTACATTAAAAAGCACCATTCTAAAACCTCAATAGCTGGGAAACAGCAACCAGTAACAAAGTGCCCCTTACCCCAATCAATACTAGTCATTGGGATAAAAATGACACAGACTGTCTATCAGTGCGGCCATCCAGAGCATAAGCAGCGTCATTCAGCATTGCTTTTACCATAAGACGTCGCCTCAGGAACAAATTGTATCTCTTTGCAGGCTGTGAAGCAATCAATAGAAAGTTAACAAATCCTGCCCAGGATTAAAGAGAAGATTTCTGAAAGCATGAATGAACCTGGAAAGTATTTTATGCTCAGTGAAATAAGCCAGTCAGAGAAAGACAAGTACCACATGATTTCACTTACATGTAGAATCTAATGAACAAAATTAACAAACAAAATTGAAACAGACTTATAGTTACAGAGAATGGACTAAAGCTGTCGGAGAGGAGCAGAGAGTGGAGGGAGAGAAGAGGCTAGGTGAAAAGGCGGAGGGATTAAGCCAAAACAAACACACAAACAAACAAACTACCAATCTCACAGACACACACAACAGTCCTGTGATTACCTGAGAGAAAGGCGTATTGAGGGAGGCAGAAAGAATTCTGACTTTGGGTGGTGGACACACAACACAATACATAGACTATGTACTATAGAATTGTACATTTGAAACCTATATAATATTATTAACCAATGTCACTCCAATAAATTCAATACATTTTTTAAAGAAATAAAAAATCTAATAGTGTGTTAACCTTTTTTCACTCATCTGCCAAACTGACAATACTAATACAAATTTGATCTATAGTACAGACTCTCAAGTAACAACATACAGCCTTTTTTCATACTATGTGCTAAGAGATATAACAGTTTAGGGCCAAAGAATATTTTTTAAAAAGAAAGAAAACATCTGCAACAAACAGACACACAAATTCAGTATTATCACTCACGTGAATGTGTACATTTGTATGATATTTAAATTAGAAAGGTGGGAGAAGTTAGAAAGAAGAAAAATAACAAAAATAGAAAGAAAAGACTAAAGAACAAAGAAAAAAGATGACTTCAAAGTAAATTTCCCTAAGTCCTTTATGCAGTAATGTTATGTAATACATCTTTGTAGAAGTGAATTAAAGAAAGGAGAGAGATAAAACAATGAGGAAGGAAGACATGGAAATAATAGCAAAGTAAAATAGGTCTTCTGTTAAGCAGCATGCCATATATCAAGCAAAGAAAGTAAAATCACTACAATTATACTTGGACTGTATATGGTATTGAAAGTTTACCCAATAGTGTAAAATATTTCATAGCCTCTCAAAATGCTGAAGGGAGAAAAAGAAAAGTCATTCAATTATTTATTTATTTTTAAAAATATTTTATTTATTTATTTTCAGACAGAGAGAGAGAGAAACACCTGCGTGTGGTTGCCTCTTGCGCACCACTTACTGGGGACCTGGCCCGCAATCCAGGCATGTCCCCTGACTGGGAATGGAACCAGTGACCCTTTGGTTTACAGGCCGGCACTCAATCCACTGAGCCACACCAGCCAGAGCTCAGCTTATTTTTAAAAGGACAGGAAATGAGAAATTGACTGAAGGAAGTGACTGAAAGTGAAGCAAGAGCCCAGCAAGTGGCATTGTTCCCTCTCTGACCTGTCCCCCACATACAGTCCCACAACAAAGCAAAGTGGCTTGCCCAACCCTAGCAAATACCGAAGGCTTACAACATAACACGTGTGCGGAGACAAAGAAATATGACCCGAATGAAAGAACACATCAAAACTCCAGAAAAAGAACTAAATGATGATAACGTAGCCAACTAATCAGATGCAGAGTTCAAAACACTGGTAATCAGGATGCTCACAGAAGCTATTGGGTACAGTCACAAAACAGAGAAAAAAGTGAAGGCTATGCAAAGTGAAATAAAGAAAAATATACAGGGAATCGACACTGAAGAAAGCTAGGGTTCAAATCAATGATTTGGAACCAAAGGAAGAAATAAACATTCAAACAGAACAGAATAAAGAAACAGGATTCAAAAAAATGAGGAGAGGCTTTGGGACCTCTGGAACAACTTTAAACATTTCAACATCCAAAGCATAGGGGTGCCAGAGGAGAAGAGGAAGAGCAAGAAATTGAGAACTTATTTGGAAAACTAATGAAGGAGAACTTCCCCAATCTGGCAAAAAAAAAAAAATAGACACACAAGTCCAGGAAGCTCAGAGAATCCCAGAGAAGTTGTACCCAAGGAGGAACCAACCAAGGCACATCATAATTATATTAGCCAAGATTAAAGATAAGGACAGAATCTTAAAAGCAGCTAGAGAAAAAGAGACAGTTCCCTATAAAGAAGTTCCCATAAGATTGCCAGTTGATTTCTCAAAAGAAACCTTATGGGCAAGAAGGGGCTGGAAAGAAGTATTTAAAGTGATAAAAAGCAAGGACCTATATCTAAGATTACTTTATCCAGCAAAGCTGTCATTTAGAATGGAAGGGCAGGTAATGTTAAAGGAGTTCATCAACACTAGGCCCTTATTACATGAAGTGTTAAAGGGACTAATCTAAGGTAAACAAGATCAAAACTATGAACAGTAAAGTAACAACAAACTCACAACTATCAACAACTGAACCTAAAAGAACAAAAACAAACTAAGCAAACAAGTAGAATAGCAACAGAATCACAGAAATGAAAACCACATGGAAGATTATCAGTGGGGAGGGGGTCAGAGCAGAATGGGGGAAAAGGTACAAGGAGTAAGAAGAGTAACTGGTGGGTACAAAATAGAAAGGGAAAGATTAAGAATAGTATAGGAAATGAAGAAACCAAAGAACTTACATGTATGACCCATGGACATGAACAAAGGGAGGGAATGCTGGAGGGAAAGGGGGTACAGGCCAGGGGGGGATAAAGGAGAGAAAAAAATGGGACAACCGTAATAGCATAATTAATAAAAAATACTTCAAAAAGAGAAAGCGTGAAGGTGAATTTTAAAAGTGAAAAGAAAAAGAAAACGCTGAGGACCATACGATTTCCTATACGTGGGAGTAAAACTGAAAGTGACAGACACAGACAACAGTATGGTGGTTACCAGAGGGAAAGGGAGGGGTAGTCAAGGGTAAACAGGGCCAAATATATGATGACAGAGGATGATCTGACTTTGGGTGGTGGGCACACAATGCAATATACAAATCATGCACCACAGAAATCTACACTTGAAACCTATATAATCTTGTTGACCAATGTTACCCCAACAAATTTGATTTAAAAAGAGAAAAAAGTTGTACTAATTGCTGCTCACCGTTGGTTCTTCCTTGATGAGAAAGCTGGTCTCTCTGCTGCTCAGGCTCTGCTAATAGCACCAGGGGAGATACAGTGCTGTTAATAATAATGCAAGTGGAGAGGATATGACTTTCAACAACCAAAGCTCTAGCTTCTCTACACAGATATACTAATCCAGCAATTCAGGGGAGCTATGAAACACCTGAAACGAAATGTAAACCTGTGTACATGTGTGTATATGGGTGCATGTGTATTCATGCAAGTGTAGGAGTGTGTGTGTAAAGACAGCTTGAGAATGAGAATTTTAGAGGTAGCTTTATTGAATCTTAACAAAACCCGACAAATGGTTAAGAACTACTATATTATAGAGAAACAGTGAGGATCTCCATTGTTTTAATGATGCTGAATCCTCAACAGGACCACAACAAAGGGAAGAATTAATCAGTGATTTAAAGCCTTTTAAACATTTCATGACATTAAAGTTATACTGAAACAGTGGAAAGAGCCATGGGGAAAACTGAGTCTATGAGTTAATAAATGCTGAAAGTCCCATTTTGCTGATCCTGGATTCCAGCTGCCTGTGGACCTTAAAAGAATTCCATTAACTCACCTAAAAAAGTCAGATATCAAGTAAAGCTAATGAATACCTTGCTCATTGAATTCTGAAATAGCAGCCTCTGATAATAAATTGTGCACCTACATTTCTGCATTTAAGACAATGTATGACTTTACTATAGCTTCATATTACATTGAATCCTTGTAATGTTTTCAATTATGCTAGAAATCAATTAGGTATTTTACTTATAGAAGGGTACAAAAAACATATTACATATTTCAAAAGCAATCAGACTAGGCACTTTACAATTTCTCACTTTAGGAAAAATGAGTTTGTTGTGACTTTCTACTCAAAAGCTGTGGTGTTGTTTGCAAAATGTAAGATAAAATAATAAAGGTTCCTTCATACCTTTTGCTGAGTATTTCATTGTCTCATTTCTCACTGACCTTAGTCTCAGGAAAAGAAATATCTATGCTGTTCTCAATTCTACATTTCCCTTTTCAGTGTGTCCTTGTCTCAGGGTGCCTCCAACCCTTAAGGAATTGAATGAAATGGTATAAAATGTAATGAAGTGAGTACATGGATGAAGGACACAAAGTTCCACTAGCAACAGAATGTGGAAATATACTGAAAATCTATGAATCCTCATAAAAACTGAGTAGTTATCCTGAATATTGTAAACACAGGAAGCGATGATTTGGAGATGGATATTCAGGAAAAAAAACTTCTAGACAGGGCTCCTAAAACAGCATCTCAAAGAAGTACCACTGCAGAGTGACTAATAGAACAGCTCTAGACTCGGACTGCCTGGGTTCAGAACCCCTGCACCAACCCCAATGCATATCCGACATTTTGTGGATATAACAATACGGCAATTTACAGTCTCAGTTTATAGACCCTTCATAACCTGGTTTCTGAGAATCTGTGTAGTTACAGGAATTGAATTTATGCCTTTTCCCTGAAAACAATACACAAAATCATGTTTTATTTTTTAGTCTTATTATGATTAAGTATCTCAATTGATTTTTGCATAATAAACGAGCCTTCCATCACGAAATTATCTCCACTTGGTGTGGGACTAAACTCTTTACATATTTTATTAGTTAATATTTAACTGAGGATGTGTGTGTCTATGACCATGAGAGAGGCTGGTTCCCCTTTTTTGTGCCGTCTTTGTTTGGTTTAGTGCTGGGATAACGGAAGCCTCTAAAATGCATTGCGCTACTGCTTATTCCTAGTGTATTCGCTGGAAGAAACTGTATAAAGCTGGTACTAATTATCCTTTAAATAAACATTTGGTGGAATTCTCCAGTGAAATGATTTGGACCTAAAGATTTCTTTGGGGAAAATTTTTAAATTATACATTTGATTTCCTAATCATTATAGGAATTTCAAATTATTTATCTCATATCAAATGGGTCATGTATCCTTAGTGTTCCTTTATTAACTTTTTCGTATCCACAGTCTATAGTGACATACCTTGTTTTTTTTTTGGTTATGTCTCATCTCTTCCCCTCCCCTCTCCTCTCCTCCCCTCTCCTCCCCGTCTTCTCCCTCCTCTACCCTCCCCTCTGCCCCTCCTTGTCAGTCTAGCTAGAAGTTTGTCAATTTTATTACCTTTTCATAGAACCAACTTGTTTCAATAATTTTCTCTAGTGTTTTTGTTTTGAATGAATTGATTTCTGTTCTTATCTTGATTTTTCTGTTATTTCTTGAGATGGAAGTGTACCATTGATTTCAACTTTTTCTCTTTACTGACATAAACATTTAGCGGTGTAAATTTCTCTCAGCATTGTTTTGGCTACAACCCCCAAATGTCAAGTCTGTTGCATTTTCACTTTACTCAGTTCAACGTTTTGCTTTGTTTTTTCCTTGAGACTTTCCTTCATGGACTGTTTAGAAGTATGTTGTTTAGCTTCCAATTGTTGATGCTCCTGTTACCGTTCTATTACTGATTAGTTTGATCCAAGAACGCTCTAGGATTTCCACTGGCCCAGATATAGTCTATCTGGGCAGATGTTCCATGTGTACTTGAAATAAATGTGTGCTCTCTTATAATCGAGTTGATTAGTTTATACATATCAATTATATCCTGTTGGTTGATGTATATCCTTACTGGTTTTCTCTTTAGCTGTGCCACCTACTGTTGAGAAAGGAGTGAAGTCTATTATATCCTTACTGGTTTTCTCTTTAGCTGTGCCACCTACTGTTGAGAAAGGAGTGAAGTCTATTATAGATTTGTGTATTAGTCATTTCTGTCCTATTATTTTTTGCTTCACATATTATGATGCTATTATTTGGTACATGCAACTTCAGCATTGCTGTATCTTAATGTTGAATGAACACTTTTAATTCTTATATAATGTCCTGCTCTGTCCATGGTAATTTTCTTTGCTACATAGTGTACTTCATATATTAATTTAATACTCCAGCTCTCTATTAATGTTCGTATATATTTTCAGCCATAATATATATTTTAATCCTTTTACTTTCATGTTTTAATCCACTTTGCAAAACTGTCTTTCAACTGGGGTGTTTAGACTATTTACATTTCATATAATTACTGGTACATTAAGAATTAATTCTGCCATTTTATTTTTGTTTTGAATTCTGTTTGTTCTATTATATTCCTCTAGCTTATTTTTCATGATTTCCTGTAGGTTATTGAAACTATTTTTATAGTTCAATTCTGATTTATCAAAATAGTTTCTGAGTGTATCTCTATCAGATTTTGATACTACATTATATATATACATACACACACATTATTTATCACAACATACAATGTGTATGTTTCATCTATCAAGTGAAATATATAACCCTCCCTTCTTAAAACCCCAAATCTGTTTATAATTTTCTTTTTTAAATATATTTTAATAGAAATATATTTCTATTTAAATATATTTTCTTTTAAAAATATATTATATTTTATAATTTTTTTTTTTTTTTTTTTTTTAATTATGCCATTACAGTTCTATTTCCCTCCTTCATTCCCCTCCACCCTGCACGCCCCTCCCCCACCCTTCCCCCCTTTAGTTCATGAACACGTGTCTCAAGTTCTTTAGATTCTATATTTCCCCTACTATTCTTACTCTCCCCCCATCTATTTTCTATCCACTGTCTATGCTACTTATTTTCTGTACCTTCTCCCCCTTCTCCTTCTCCCACTCCCCTGTTGCTAATCCTCCATGTGATCTTCATTTCTATGGTTCACTCCTGATCTGCTGTCCTCTTAACTTGCTTTTGTTTTAGGTGTGGTTGTTGATAACTGTGAGTTTGCTGTTCTTTCACTGTTCATCTTTTTTATCTTCTTTTTCTTAGGTAAGTCCCTTTAACATTTCATATAATAAGGGCTTGGTGATGATGAACTCCTTGAATTTGGTCTTATCTGAGAAGCACTTTACCTGCCCTTCCATTCTAAATGAAAGCTTTGCTGGATAAAGCAATCTTGGATGTAGGTCTTTGGATTTCATGACTTGGAATACTTCTTTCCAGCCCCTTCTTGCCTGTAAGGTCTCTTTTGAGAAATCCACTAACAGTCTGATGGGAACTCTTTTGTAGGTGACTGTCCCCTTATCTCTTGCTGCTTCTAGGATTCTCTCCTTCATTTTAATCTTGGCTAATATAATGATGATGTACCTTGGTGTGTTCCTTCTTGGGTCCAACTTGTTTGGGACTCTCTGAGCTTTCTGGATTTCCTGGAAGTCTATTTCCTTTGCCAGATTGGGGAAATTCTCCTTTATTATTTGTTCGGATAAGTTTTCCACTCGTGGCTGTTCCTCCTCCCTTTCTGGTACCCCTATAATTCAGATGTTGTAAAGTTTAAAAACGTCCTGACACTTTCCTAAGCCTCTCCTCATTTTTTTGAATCTTGTTTCTTCATCCTTTTGTTTGGTCATTCTTTTCCTCCTTCTGGTCCACTCCTTTGAGTCCTAGTTTCCTTTCCATTACTATTGGTTTCCTGTGTATTTCCCTTCATTTCAATTAGTTTAGCTTCCATATGTTCCTCTAATTTGTGACTAAAATCAACCAGTTCTGTGAGCATCCTGATCACCAGTGTTTTGAACTGTGCACTGAAAGTTTGGCTATTTCTTCATTGCTTAGATTTATTGGCTCTGGGGCTCTGAGTTGTTCTTGAGCCATGTTTTAATCTGTTTGTGCCTGTTAGTATGAGGAGCGGAGCCTTAGTTGTTCACCAGGGCGGGGCCACCCAGGTCGCTGGTTTGTGATGCTGTAGGTGGGAGCGGGGTCAGAGAGGGACAATGGCGATTCCCTCTGCCGCTTCCTGCCACTGGGGCCTGTGTGGTCTGTCTCACTGCTAGCTCCTTCACCGGTTTATCTGCGCAAGAATGTGTGACCACGATCAACCCTCAGTGGGTCCACTGCCTTGCACCCTCAGTGGGTCCGCCTGCTTCTCCACACCCGGGATCCTTCCATGGCTGCTGGAACTCCTGGGCCGCGTGCCCAGGTGGGTCTGGTGGATCTTTCCTGCCTGACCCCGCTCTGCTGCTGGCTCTGCCCCTCTTACCGGTTTTCCTGAAGGGTTTGTTGTTGTCAGACTTCCATGTAGTTCAATTTTCTGTGGTTTGGTTGCGTTTTTGTTGCTAAAATTTTGTTGTTTTTAAACTTGGTTGTGTGAGAAGGTGCAGTGCTTCCACCTACGCCTCCATCTTGGCAGAAGTCCACCTAATTTTCTTAAATATTTATCTGCACACATTGAGAATATCAGAAATTGTTAAAAATTTTTACTTCAATTGTCAAATATAACTGGAAACTCAAAAGAGAAAGTCTATTGTATACTCATATTTTTACACTTTGTTTTTTTTCCCTCCTTGCCCATGTTAAAAATTTCTTGTTTTATCATTTTCTTTCTGTCAAACAACTTCTTTTGGCTAATCTTTTAGGGCAAATGTGCTGTTGAAATTTTTCTTTAATCTTCCTTCATTTGAGAATGGTTTTTCTGTTTATTCCTGACGGATATTTTCACTGGTTGTAACACTCTCGATTGGCATTTTTTTGTGAGCACTTGAAACAACTGTACTGCTTCCCCACATTTCTGAGAGAAAACTACCATCTAATTACTGTACCTTTCCCCTAGAGTTAAGGCATTGTTCTCTCTCACTGCTTTCAGGGTATTTTTTTCTTGCCTTTAGTTTTCTGAACTAGCATTAGTTCAATTGATGTTAATTTCTTTGGGTTTATCCTGTTTGTGATTCCTTCAACTTCTTGAATCCGTAGGTTTGTATATTTTTGATCAATTGAGATATTCACCTATTTTTTCTTCAAATATTTTTAGCCCACTCTCTCCTATTCTAGGACTTCAGTAACACAAGGACAAGATCTTTGTTAGCACAAGGATAAGATCTTCAGTAACACGAGGACAAGAACTTCAGTAGCACAAGGATAAGATCTTCAGTAACACAAGGATAAGATCTTCAGTAACACAAGGACAAGATCTTTGTTAGCACAAGGATAAGATCTTCAGTAACACGAGGACAAGAACTTCAGTAGCATAAGGATAAGATCTTCAGTAACACAAGGATAAGATCTTCAGTAACACAAGGACAAGAACTTCAGTAGCACAAGGATAAGATCTTCAGTAGCACAAGGACAAAATCTTCAGTAGCACAAGAACAAGGTCTCCTCTAGCCCCATAGGTGCCTGAAGTTCTGTTCACTTTTCTTTATTTTCTTTTTTCTTCTGTTTAAACTAGGTAATTTCTACTCTATTTCCAAATTCAGTGATTCTTTCCTCTATTCATCCCACCTGCTGCTGAGTTGTTTTTTTAATTGCAGTTACTGTTTTTCAATTCTAAAATTTCCAGTATGTTATTCTTTAAAATGTGTTGCCTTTTTGCTAAGACTTTCTGTTGTTTTTATGTTTTAAGCATGATCACAATTGCTCATTGAAGCATTTGTATAATAGGTGTTTAAAATCCTAATCAGATATTCTAACATCTGTCACCTCAGCACTGATATGTTGTCTTTTCTCATTCAAGTTGCTATCCTTCTGGTTCTTGGTATTATGGGTGATTTTCTATAAAAATCTAAACTTGTAAGCTATTGTATTATAAGATAGCTTCTAGATTTTATTTAAATCTTCTGTTTCACTAAAGCAGACTTATTAAGTCTTCCCTGATACCACTCTGGTGGGATAAGTGGAGTGATGCCTTATAACTCGGTGGGGACAGAATTCCAGGTCTCCAGCTCAGCCTCTGTGCAGGTGAAGGGGTGGAGGGGTGTTGGAAGGGTTTTTCATCACTACTGGGTGGGGTAGAAGTTCAAGCTTACTGTTAGGCCTTCCCTGATCCCAACCAGGCGGGGAAGTGCACGGATGCCTCTTTTCTGCTCCCTACATGGCCTCCACTGTCACCTGGCAGAGAGTGGAGTAGGGGTGGCTTCTCTACTTCTAGGCAGTGCTGAAACTCCTGGATTTCCACCGGGCTACCTCTGACAACAACCCCTCAGAAAAGAATTGAGCACCTTGTTACTACTGAGGAGAGTGAAAAGCCCAGGCTCCCACATGTTCTCCATGGACTCTATGCAGATGAGTGTGTGGGAAAGACACATTCTCACAGGGCCTACCTTTTCCAGTGCTGAATATATTGTACATCAGCTGAAGAATGATTATTTCGAATCAGAATATTTTCACTATGTCAACCAGTCAACAGTTTTATTTCAGCACAACTAAAAAACAAAAACCCCAAAACTATGACACATGATAGTACTAAAATACTATAGCTGAAGTTCTCTGAGTTTGATGAGCCAAATGTAAAGCCTTAGAAATGTGAACAAAAATGTTCAACCTGAAGGCAAGGAAGTAATATTCACTGTTTTCGAAATGTGCAAAGGGATAAGGAACAGCTTAAATATGACATGAAATTATTTCCTGTTAGAGAAGCGTTAAGTCTAGACCATATATAAATGTGACAGATACAGAAGCACAGAATGTGAACTGTAATTGAAGTTAACTTGAGAAATGCATATAAAGATCTGTGAGACATCTATTATTATGATATCAATATGGACAAAGTAAAAATGACAGTATGTTATCATTGAAGTTGGTTCAATCTCAGATCTTTGCTTAGTCTCCCCTATGGACACGAAAACTTCAATTTTCCATGTTCTTTACTTTCTAGATAATAGTCTTGATACATTTACTCAATAAATATGTTCTCCATACCACATCACTTTAGTTGTGGAGACTCTAGTTTACGACAGTGGTTTGCAAACTTTAATGAATGGCAGTAAGAGTTGCCTGGGTGCTTTTTAAAAATCAGGACTTCTTGCCCTTACCCTAAATAGTAATTAGTCATCTGAATAGTAATAGTAATTAGTAATCTGAGATTGGGCCCAAGAGTCTGCATTTTAAATAAATTTTTCATATAATTCTTATTTAGGTGGTCTACAAATTACACTGTAAAAATTACTGGACTATACAATTTTCATAGTCCCTTCAGTTCTCATAGTCCATTTCTCTAAGCATTTTGGCCATTGAGCTTTTAAAGGAAACCCAGGACTTCTGGGACTCTTACGTCAACCAGCTTATCCAACCAGTTTATCAAGCTGACTAGCACACTGCCAATCTACTGGGACAGGCTTTCTTTCCCAGGGTGGGAATTTCAGTCATTCCTAAAAAGCTATTTTTAAAGAATCCGTTGTTTTTTAAATCTTGCTGACTAGCCCTAATCCAATTCAAAGACATATACCTCTGTAAGGACTGCTTTCAGTCAATTTGAGTCTACTGGAAAGATTAATTTACCTGAAATACCTTCTGGATGCTTGTATTCTGTATATTAAAAATCCTGTTGGTATATTTTTTGCAAGTTTATGTAAATAAAATAAATAAATCCTTTGGCTAAGAAAATTCTGTGTTTTTATTAGTGTGTTTGGTAGTTACTATTTTATTTAATATGTTTACTTAACTCAGGTTGAGTCGCTTGAGCCCCAGCACAGTCACCAATAAGCACTAACCACATCCTAACAACTGTGATGTAAAGAGCTGTCACCTATTACACTTGCCTTGCACTTTAGCACAGTGTGAAGAAAAATACTATTGTCTTGCATATAAAGTCTTAGTATTCTGACTTTATTTCACAAGGAGGCTGAAAAGAAATCCAAACTTCTGTTTGCTCCCTTATAACATCTAGAAAGTACCAATATTAAATCTGCATGGAACATGGAATTTGCTTTACTTACTAAAAAATGAATAGGAATTTGCTTCAGTTACTAAAAAATAAAAGATGAAATAGAATGTAGTATGAGTAAATAACCAAAGTACAAAGATCTAAGTAGTCATATGAAGTACATCTCTAACCTAGTCTCAATTTTTTGTTCTGACTCTTAGGAAGCTGGTATATACTTAACTTACCTCATTCATTTCAAAAACATAGTCTGCTTCCCTAACGTTTCTTCCCTCTAAAATTGATAAGAAAGAAAAAAATGTTAAAATGGCCTATTGATCAGAATATGTTAAGAGTTTCCACATAGAGAAAATAGCAATTCAACACTCAAAAAAAGAGTTCAAAGAAAAAAATACTGGAAGAAAATGCCCAAGATCTTCCTGAAGCTAAGTTGTTCAAAGCAGCCTCCAAAAGAAGTTAGTACCAAAAGCTGTCTATAAGCTAGGGGAAAAATGTCATGATGTTTTTCTGACATGTAAGATATAATTGCACCAACTAAGAAATAAACTTAACCGGGATAAATGCAGTTATTAAATACAGACATGAAACTGCTGAGAGGAAAACATCCAGTAGGGATGTTCACTGTTACTTACCTCTTAGTTCTTACTGTGTGAGATTCAATATTCTATCAGCACTGTTTTCCTGAAGTTGACCCAAACTGTTTGCTAGTAAAGCAACTTCAGCACACAATGTAATTGAAAAGTTACAAATATCACTTAAGTGGCATTAATGTGCACCTCCTAAGGTTTGTGCAAGCATTCCATTAGATGATAATGCAGGCAAAGAAAGGGCTTCATGCGGTTGCAAGGTCAAGGTCAATGAACATTAGTTGTTCTTGTTGACATTGTTATTATTATCAGGATGTGCTCTGTTCTTTTGTTGATTTTCAAAACTGTTTTAAATTCTCTGGGATACATTTTAGAGTGTCAGAATAAATATAAAATCATTTCTCTTGTATTCAAATCTTTCTGTTACAGGATGTTATTTTAAAAGTTAACAGGAAAGCAGGAAAACAGACTGTGACTTTAGCTGTATCACTTAACTTTTTTAGTGCAGGTTTTCTCATCTATAAGATTTAATATGTAAGTAAAAATCATTTTAAAATATGAAACATTATATGGTATCATCATAGTACTGTTTAAATGTACAGTTCAAAACTCCATAATGCCTTAACCATTTCTCACTGAAATTTTTAATGAAAAAGACATCAATCTAGAAAATAAAGAATTGGATTCTAAAATGTACTTACTTTGTCTCTCAATGTACGGTACTTGAGAACTGACTTAGGAAGCCTTTCATTATTTTCCAAGACAAAAACAGTCACTATTACACAGAATAACTGAGTAGAGTTTCAAATACAGAGCAAACAAGTTCAAGCCTTAAGCTAGGGGTTACAGATGCTGATATTGAGAAAAATGATACCTACAAAGAAAGGCTCCTGGAAGATTAAACAAACAACAAAACTCCCAGCCATTTCTATTCTGGAGCCTCGCATGCAATCACACTTCAGGAGAACACTGCACTAAGATGCCCTCCTCCTGCACCAAGCTACCTTCCTGGACTGTGTTTCTGCCATTAGAGCTAGCCCTTATAAAGGAGTTTGGAAATTTATTTCAACCAACAGGACTGAAGCTTTCCCCCTCCAAGTGGAATTGTGCAGTTATATCCCCATCAGCATCTTCACCAACCAATCAGAGTGCCTCCCTTCTGACCAATTAGGAACATCGCCTTTTGCACAGAACTGCAAGGATTTGCAGACCTCTCTTGCATGAGGATGGACCAATCAGGAGCCAGGGGCAGGGACTTCTGTCTCTATAAGCCATCTCCCCTGAGGCTCAGAGAGTGCACTTTCCCTTTCCAGTAAAGACTGCATTCCTTGGATGGAACTGAAACTCAGTCACCAAAGGTGACTCCTGGAGCAGACCGGAACAGAGTGGAACACACAGAGGCAGAACAGAGTGGAGTGAATGAGATGGGAGCTGATGGAGTAGACCAGAGCAGAGCCGGCTAGCAGGAGAGGGGCCTGGCCCCGGGGTCCCTTGGAGCTGGGCCACCCTACAGCCCTGCTGTTCTACAGCTGTGCTGCTTCATCATTGAGCTGCTTCATCATTACTGTGCTATCCCGCAGCCGCGCTGTATCACTGGATAAAGTTTCCTTCTTCACTGCACTTCAAACTGTGGATCCTGTTGGCACTGACTGGGCACCAATCACCATCAGCCGACACATAGTATTTTACACTTCTAGCTTTTCGAGAACCTCCTTCATCTATTTATTTATTTTGCTGCATTTACCATATAGCTAAAAAGTATTTTCAAACTGCTACTGGAACTTCATACAAGGCATTTCTTTGAGAATGTGGAAAAGGGACATTATTTCTCCAGATTGTCTCCTATTCCTACTAGCTCTCCCTCAGGCTTTACTGCTCCCTTTCCCTAGAACTATTTTCTTCCTAGGCCAACTCTAATTTTCCACGTTGTATCAGTCTGACAACCTCCTTGCCTGAAAACCCTTCACCTGCCCCGTGGATTAGCTTCCTGCCTGCTCCCACGGCACCATGAACTTGGCCCTCTCCCAGCACCTAGCCCAGTTATGACCCCTCCACAAGACTGCAAGCTCCATGAGAGCCAGGTGGAGCATACTGTGTAAACCGTATCCTTTTTTGGAAAAACGGAAGACTAAAGAGGAAAGGCGTATTACCTCCAACACTATGTTCCCTCTTACACATAGTGTTCACTGACTATCCTTTTTCTCCCCGACACAAAATAGATGTTCACGCATGTTATGGATCCAGACACACTTTCACACTCATTCACAGAGTATAAGGCTGTAATAATTGCACAAAGCAATAAACCACTGTCAAAATAGAGGCTTATCTGAAGAGGCAAGGATTTGAATCCCACAACTCTCAATGAGCTCTTTGTTGTGCTTCCAACTTCCTCTAACATCACTGAAAATGACTACACTCTACCTAATGGGATAGAAACCTGCGGTATGAAGGGCTTAATACCAACCAATCACTGTAGCGAATCATAAAATATGAGCTAAAAGTCAAGTCAGCCCGAAGACTGAGCTTTAAGTTTTCACTGAAAGCACATTACTAAGAATACACACTCCAGCAAACCCAGAGCCCAAAAATAGCTCCCGCATTTACCAAGTGATCTTCTCGGTTTACACCCCTCCCAGGAGCATAAAATGAAAATACACTTGACCCTTTAACAATGCAGGGGTTCAGGGCACTGACACCCAGCCACCCAATTCGATCAAAACTCTTCAATATAACTTTTGACTATCTAAAATCTCCACTAATAGCCTATTAACACATATAAACACAGGAAGCCCATCAACACATATTAACACATACTTTGTATGTTATATATAGTACATACTGTATTCTTATAGTAAAGTTAGATATCAAAAATATTAGAAAACTCAGAAGGAAAATACATTGACAGTATTTATTGTAAAAAATCCACATATAAGTAGACCCACACAGTTCAAACCCATGGGGTTCAAAGATCAACTGTATATGCAATCAAATATTTACATTACCAAAGGGGAGGTGGTTTGATTAAATACAATGTTTAACATAGTTGTAAAGATGCAAACAACTTTGTATTCCACTTTAAAACTGCCCTTTTCCATTGTTAAGCCCTTAAGCTGCCTTTTCCAATGCTGGATGTACGGTAAATCAGCTAAAGAATAAATATTTCAAATCAGAACATCCTTTCTATGTCAACCAGTCAACAGCTCAAATTCCACAACACTGACATTTAAACGGCAGCATTTGTTTACATAACCATTTAAGTGTTCTATTCATTTGCCCTTGGAATTACATTTAAAAAATGACTAGATAGTGGGAAAACTAACTGGATATCACTGATTGCTTAATGTGTTCAATTATCGAGAAAATAAACAGAGAATGTAACATATCCAAGAAATATGAACTAGTATGACAAAAGGCAAAATGTTAACAGTCTCTCTGGGAAGAAAGCTTATCACATGTAAATCAATTGGTTACCTTTCTCATATTTTTAATGTGATTTAGGAAATACATAATATATAAGATCCAGGCTTTCAGCAAAGCTATATACAAATATATATAGGATAAATATATAAGATCCTGTTTCAGTAAGCTTATTCTAAGAAATGTGTTTATATTTTAAAACACAGAAATAGAAGTAGCTTCTAAAATCTCAGACTACATAATCCAGTATTTTTCCACCTTCTTCAACCGCCACTTTTTGTTTTTTATCCTCACCCTAGCATGTTTTTTCACTGCTGTTAGAAAGGAGGGGAGAGAATTTTACTGATTATGCTATTAATAGTTGTCCCGATTGTTCTCCTCTTTACCCCCCTCCACCTAGCACCTCCCACTCTTTCATGTAATCATTGTTCATGTCCATGGGCCATACATATGAGTTCTTTGGCTACTATATTCCCTATACTGTACTTCACATCCCCAAGGCTATTCTGTAACTACCTATTTGTACTTCTTAATCCCTTTACCTCTTCACCCAATCCTCCACACTCCCCTCCCACCTGGCAACCACCAACATGCTCTCTGTATCCATGATTCTGTCTCTGTTCATCCTGTTTGCTTAGTTTTTTAGTTTCAATTGTTGACAGATATATATATTTATTGCCATTATATTGTTCATAGTTGTTATCTTCTTGTTTTTCTTAAATAAGTCCCTTTAACATTTCATATAATAATGGTTTGGTGATGATGAACTCCTTCAGTTTTTTCATTTCTGGGAAGCTCTTTATCTGCCCTTAGATTTTAAATGAAAACTTGCTGGGTAGAGCAATCTTGGCTGTAGGTCCCTGCTTTTCACATCTTTGAATATTTTTCTTGCCAATCCCATCTCATCTGCAAAGTTTCTTTTGAGAAATCAGCTGACAGTCTTATGGGGACTGTCCTGTAAGTAACTAACTTCTTTTCTCTTGCTGCTTTTAGATTCTCTCATTATCATTAGCCGCTGGCATTTTAATTATGTGTCCTCTTGGAGTGGGCCTCTCTGCATCCATCTTGTTTGGGACTCTCTGTGCTTCCTGAACTTGCATGTCTATTTTCTTCATCAAATCAGGGAAGTTTTCTTTCATTATCTCATTATCAAAATAGATATTTTATTATCTATTTTTCAAACAGATTTCCAATTTCTTGCTCTTCGTCTTCTCCTTCTGGTACCCCTATGATTCGAATGTTGGACTTCTTGAAATTGTCCCAGGAGCTG